ATTAATAATTTTATATTAATATAAAGAAATATTATAAAAATAAAATATGCTAATAGCTATAATGTTTATATATATAGCTTAACTTACTTTATAAATATATAATTATGCCTATTACTTTATTTATCTTATTTTAAGAATAATATTTAATGAATTTATAATAAATTTATAATAAATTTATAATAAATTTATAATAAATTTATAATAAATTTATAATAAATTTATAATAATAATTAAAACTTTTATTATAATATTATAAAGGTAAATTAAATTTAAAACCTTATTATATTTAGCTATTATATTCTTTATATTATAGCGTTACTTATATATATCCCTAGCCTAATTATTTTACTATTAATTACTTTAATAAATCTACTTTATGTAATTTGCTTTACCGCTATTAAGCATAATAAAAATAAATTAAGTTTTATTAATATATTAAATTAAAGTATATTCCGTTATTTACTTAAGAATAAAAGTTAACTTATTATATTATTTATAGGAAAAACCCTTTAGCATTATTATTAATTACTTTTATTATATTAAATATTTTAATTAAATTATAAATGCATTTATATAATTATTTTTCTTTAATATTTAAAGTTTATAATAATAGCTAGGATACCTTATTAAGGACTTTTATATTTCCTTCGCTGCCTTTCGCTGCTATTAAGATGGCTTTTAAGGTTTAAACTCCTTATTTATTACTATTTCCTAAATTTATTTAAGTTTATATTACTTATTAATATTATAAGAAGATTATGCTTAAAAGTAAATTATTTATAAGGGGGAATTTAATATAATATAAATGGGTTATAATAAATTTACGGTGAATTTGCCGTGAATTTACGAGTGCCCATAAATTCACGGTACTTTCATAATGAATTTACTATAAATATATGGTTTTACGGTAAATTTATTATGTATATATTTAAATAGAGAAATTTCCCGCGAATTTACCTTAAATTTATAAGGGATATTGAATTTCAAACCTTTATTCCTATCATTAAAAGGGCAATATATAAATAATAACGATATTATATATTATTAATAATAATAATAATAATAATAATAATAATAATAATAATAATAATAATAATAATAATAATAATAATAATAATAATAATAATAATAATAATAATAATAATAATAATAATAATAATAATAATAATAATAATAATAATAATAATAATAATAATAATAATAATAATAATAATAATAATAATAATAATAATAATAATAATAATAATAATAATAATAATAATAATAATATATATATATATATTCCCAGAATTGCAAGAATAAAGGAAAGAAAATAAAAAAGTAAATTTTCCTCTTATTTTAAATAAAATATAATAATTTAAAGGAATTTAAAAAACTATATATATATTATATAAAATATATTATTAAATAACTAAATATTTATATTAAATTCCTAAGAAAATATATTAAAATACTGCTTAACTGCAGTTAATATTAATAAACCTTTTTCTTTAAAAAAGGTATTAAATAACTTAAAAAAACCCCTATAAGTTAAATCTATGCTAAATAAAATATATAATTTATAAAAATAAAATACTTATATAATAATGGATTTACTACCTAGCTATATAGCTTTAAAGGAAAAATAGGTATATAAAAAGAAATTTATAAATAACCCAGCTATTATAAAGCCTAATTAAGTAGTAAATAATAAGAATAATATTAAATTTAAATTTAAATAGGTTATTTAAGGATATAATTAAAAATTAAGCATAAACTATTTAAAGACTTTTTCTATAATTTACTGCCTTAAAACCTATACTATGCTATTAATAATAGCTATAAATAAAGGATATTTTATATTTAATTACAATATTAAAAACGCATTTCTATACTTTAATATTAATTTTAAAATATATATAAAATTACCTGCATATATATATAATAAATAAAAATATAAAAATAAAGTTACAAAACTAAATAAAGCTTTATATAAGTTAAAATAATTACCTATGCTTTAATATAAATACTTAAAAAATATATTAATTAAGCTAGAATTTATTATTTACCCATATAATAAAGAAATATTTATATACCTTAATAAATAAATTATATTTATATATTATATAAATAATATTATTATTATAGGATTTAATAATAATAATATAAATTTAATAATTAATAAATTATATAAGAATATAAAACTAGATTTTTAAGGAGATTTAATAAATTTCCTTAAAAGCGATATATATATAAATAGAAAAGATAAATAAATAACTATAAACTAAAATAAATATATAAATAAAATATTAAAAAGATTTAATATAAAAGAAAAGGTTAAGAAAAAGGAAATAATTCCTTAACTTACACTATATACCCTTAATAGAAAATTAAAAAAATACACTAACCAAGCTAATAAAAATACTATAGAATTATATTAGCAATAACTAGGGTTTATATTATATGCTAACTTAAAAATAAAGCTAAATTTAACCTATTTTATAAATAAATTAGCCAGATATATAGCAAACCTAGGATCAAAGCATATAAAAGAATTAAATAAAATAGGGGGATATATATATAAATTCCTATATATATTTAAAGTATATAATTGCTTTAGAAATAATTTATAATTAATAGGCTATATAAATTCAAACTAGGGTAACAATATATTTACTAAAAAGAGCACCTTTAATTATATATTTAGCTTATATGATATTAATAATAATAATAATAATAATAAAATAAATCCCATAAGCTGGAATTCTTAATTATAAAAAACACCAGCACTTTCCTTTATAAAAGCAGAATATATAGCTTTAAGAAAAGCTATAAAAAAAGCTAAATATTTATATAATTTACTTAAATATTTTAATAATAATTTAAATATTAGCTTTAATCTTAAGCCCCTTACTATATATATAGATAATAATACAGCTAATAAATTAGCTAAAAATACCTTATTTTATAAAAAAACTAAATATATAAATATTATATATTATTATATAAAAAAGCAATAAAAAATAATAAAGTAATATTAAAATATATAAATTTTAAGAAGAATTTAGCAAACTAGCTTATAAAATCAATAAATAAACTACACTATAAAAAGTTTAAAGAAAAGTATAATTTAATAGAAAAATAATATAAAAATATTAAGCTAAAAAATAAAGAGATTTTCCACTTATATTATAATGCATGTAAAATAAATTAAAGTATTTACTCTTTAATAACTAGGGTTAAGATTTTTTCCTTTACTTATAAAATATATAAATAAATCAAGCGGACTTAATTATATATATATATAATATTACCCTAAATACTGGAAGTTTTCCCCTAAAAGAAATAACTAAAATAATAAAGGTTTTTCCTAAAAAATAAGCGTTACTTACACGGCCTATATATACCATATATACACACAATTACAATATACCTACACTGTGTTTATATATATCTAATTCTACACAGAAAACATATTTCCATAATATATATAGTATAAATAAAATAACGTATGACTTTAATGTATAAAAATATCGTGATATACTATAGCTATTATAAAATAACTAGTAAATCCCATATAAAACCATAATTTAATATATAATACCCTATTAGCTATAAGTTTAAGTTTAAGTAACAGCAAATTTTTAAGTTTTTTGCCTAAATATATAATACTTAATAAGTAAGTTTTTTCCCTTTTATAAGGTTTTCTTACTATATAACTAAATATTCCTCTTTTATAAATTAAATCCCTTATATATAAAATAAAATAAATAAAAGGGAATTAGTTTAAGGGGGGCTATTGGAATATTTTAGATATCTAGGCTATTATTAATACGGGATATCCTTTTCCCCATACGTTTGCCACTGTATGGAGGATAATAACTATAAATAAGGGCCTTCCCTCCCGTAGAATAAACGTTAGCTAGCCTAATAGACTAAGCATCCAACGCTATTATTTCAGAGTGACGAGGGGACGAGAAACAGGGTTCGTGCTCTTGTACAGTAATTAGGACCCCATTTAGGGGCCGGATCCTGGCATACCCGGCAGGGCACGGCGAGGTGCAGTGCATGTTGGCGCGGGTGTTGGCCGTTGGTGGATTAGAGTGTGGTCTAAGAAATGGATAAGAACCAACATAATGTTCAAATACGACGTTGTTGATGTTACAATGGGACTCTGAAGAGAGGCTAACATAGTTTAATCGCTAAGTGGATAGCCGTACAGTACTTCCCCATGTTGATCACACACACAGATATATGTAGGGAGCCTAGCGCCAAGTCGCCAACATGCAATTGACTACTTCTATATTTAACAGGAATGTCGGATTCATTTTCAAGTTACATATGTACCATTTCTGATGTTGTTTTGCTGGGTACAACACCTTCACACCTCAATAGCGATAAGTGACGTGAGACACCAGTGCTCTTAGCTACTGAATCGAACCTTGGTGCCAGTAGGCTCGAGAAAAATGATTCCCCTGTAGCCGTCTGGACACCAAGGTTGCATGTTCACCCTAACTGGGTCCTATCTGAGAGGGTTTGAGGGAGATCAGGGCTCGCAAATTTCAAGCGATTGTGGACCCGTCTCAATAGAAAAAGAGACAATAAAAACTGGCCAAAATTTGCTTAGAAAGTTGGATTCGAGTGGAGATCGCCCTTCATTTTCGTGATGCCGAATACTTCCATACATATCAGGCTGACATAATTGTGTCCGGTCTGTTTCAGGCTTGATGAGCCTTCGGGCTGGCTTGGTAAACTATGATATTGGTTCGACCGCGTCCCTAGTTGCGCGTTCATGCTGTGAACATCTCGTGCTTCATCGATCTGCTCTGGTTGTAATTTACAGCACTGACGCGGCCAGGCTGCTGTCAACACGTCAGTGCTTCTCTTCAATTATGCTATTCATGTATTGCTCAAGTGTAACAATGCTGACCGGGAATGCTGTTTCATCGCAATAAACACCCACGACAACCGTGAAGTCTACTCAGTGAGTGCGCAAATGCCCAGAACGCCATGTATAATGTTCAGTCCGAGTCCCATTCCTCGTCTACCCACGCACCCGGAATTTCGAACAAATGTGGATTATCAATCAGATCCCAGAAGGCCGCAGCATATTCCTCGTAGTGGCAATCCACTTCGAAATACCAGTCCCTTGGCTCTGCGCCGTAATGAACAGCCTTGACTTCGCAAACCTCATTATATCCGAACCCTAGATACAACGCATCGCCTATAATGCTGTCTGCATAGCACTGACTGAGCCATGTCACAGCCTCTTGGCGCCCAAATTCCAACAGATCATAACCGTAGCTGGCAAGAACTGACATCAGAGATTGAAGAGCCCTCGTCAATCTCTCCAAGACACTGCGCGCATTCCTTTCTTTAGTTAACCTCAGTTTAAGGCAATATATTAGCGACATTATTAGTCCTTCTTGGATTGCACTGCAATTCTCTCTGAAGCCGATAAAGAGAAAGTCTGCTTCGGATGCGTGGTGCAAATCATCAGTGGCTTGGATCGCCTCCTCGAGCAGTGTTTTGAAGTCCCCAGCCTCAGCTCTAGAGAACTGCATGATGTAGTAGGAAAACACCACATGCAAAATAGAGCCGTTGCCATCATTCCATGCGTGTGTGTCAATCGGTCGAATGGGGCCGTCGGGGCAGATGACACGTCGGAGACCATCAGCAGTCCAGTTTCCGTGCCCCATACCAAGTATCAATATCTCCTGTTTCAATCTCGGTGAGAGATCATTCCAGAAAGGGAAATACGTGCGCAGACAAAAGTCAAAGAGTTCCTGCCTCTGCGATGCATGTGAAAGACACCATGCGCTCAAAACGTGGTTCGAGTCCCATGGCAGTGTTTCATTATAGAATTCGAAGTCTTCAGCTGCATTGGCTAAAAGATGGAACGAGCCTCGAGATGATAATTGCCGTATGATGTCGATAGGCATTATCCCATCAAAAATATTACCCACCGTCGAGATGTCCATGGCCGTTGGATTCATTTTGTCTAGGTTCATGTTGATAAAATGGTTGACAATGTGAGTGTGCGAACGTAAACAGGCCAACTTGATTGAGTCAACGTTGATCCCACTCTGAAGCGTACTTCTATTGGACATACATTGAATAAAGTATCTCCATAGACATCGCAGTCTTGAGGAGAAGCCAGGCCCTGATCAAATAAATCAAGGAGCCCTTCGAGGTCACCATTTTTGACACAAAGCATGCCGGGCGAGTCGTTAGGGACAATGTTCCGTGTGGAAAGGCACCCCTGCCAGCCTGAGCATGCCCGACTGATTCTGATGTCCCAGACACTTTGAGAAAGCCATCTCGGCAGCTGAAAGCGGACTGCGTAAGCTACTCCACGTTAGCGGCTCGAATATGCTCCAGCCTATATATATATATATGACAATAACTTACTTGCTTCACCGGTAGCGTCTGAACCGGACTTTTTAAATATGATGGCACCGAGTTTAGAAGGCCCGGACCAAGGGAGAGAAACGCTGTTCCCTTGACGCTGGGCTCTCCTTCGTTTATCCAGGGTCTGCTGCCGAGACGTCTCAACGTTTTGAGTGACGACTGGAAACGGTGGTCTTCCCATCGAGCTGGAAGGATTGCTGCTGCCCAACTGTTGCAACATGAGTTGTTGCTGGGCCTGCATGCCTGTTACAGCGGTCCACATGTCTGTGACCATGGCTCCCGTGATTGCGGCGTTGGTTCTGGATGATCATCAGCACTGGGCCGGTCACGACCAAGGGGTTTAGGACTGGTACCCACGCAAGGTAGTTCAGTTGAGACCACTGCAAAAGTCTCATTGCTTTCTCCAGCCTGTCCTGAAATCCCTTGATTGTATCCTTTTTTAGCACGACCTTCATCCTAGCGACTGTCCGCCTGCTCCTCTTCTCTGACTCGACGGCACCATCCAAGTCCTCCATCAGACGTCGTAAAGCGTTTAGAGCGTCTCGGCAATATGCGGCGGTTTGCGGCGTGGGTGCGCCAATGTGAGTCGGTAGTGGTATAGGGAGGGCGGTGCTTTGGATGCCGAGGTTGGTTTCGTGATCGGACAGGATGGGATCCATCATCTCGATCTGCCTCATGAGGTCTTGAATGGTCGCTGGAACCTCGTGCACTTCGTGCCACAGCTTCTTCAGCTTCCAAACTGTGCCCCCGACCTTCAGGCCAACCTCAGCTACGCCCAAGCCGCTAGCTACTGCCCCGAGGATTTCGGCCATGGTGGCTTCGTGGTGAACTGGACTGGAACGCAAATGTTTTCGGAAGGGATTTCGAGAGCGGAGGAGGAGGTTTAGCGACAGAATGCAAGATGCAGAGAGCCTAACCCGAATGCTCTTGAGGGTGGAGCAGACGTGCGGGCTGACGCCAAATGCACCCATCATTGGGTGGAAACTGCCGCCGCGGCGATGCAGAGCTGCAGTCAGCCCAGCAGAGCGCCCTCTGCGCCTGCGTAGACACACCCGGTTACCTTCCCAAATACTGTGTGGCAGCTGATTTTGTAGTCGTGCTTGGGTTTTGAGTCGCTCTTGACGCTTTGGCCCCTAAATGTGATCCCCTGTTTGGACAGTCACGTATGGTCACACACAAGCCCACTCGCGTTTGATGTCTGCCCAAGCGGCGCGCTTCCCCATACGAGAGTCAATGGCCTTTGTAGATACGGTAACGCCGCCAAGACATTTTGGTGCATCTCAAAGGTGCCTTGACCTCTGACGGATCCTAACCGTGTCACGAATAGAAAAATGGAGAGGCTTCAGAGGCTCTTCCAGGCGAATTTGGTATGACTGTAGTCCAGGCTAGTCATATTGTCAAGAGTTCAACCAACTCAGGCGTGTGTTCAAAGCCTTACTGTCCGGCCCTCTCTTGTGTGGTCCTGTGGCCTTGCAAGCAAGTGCTCGGTCGTGGAGTTTGATTTCTGTGTGCGCATGTCTAAACTTGTAATACGTCCGTGCAATGATAGTGAAATGAGAGTTGGTGGTAGACCTCAACCTAGGAGGTTTTTTCGCGTGCGGCGTTGACTGAGAGGACAGTCATCGCAGCTGCAGGCAGGATCATATCCTCTCCAAAGCTCCTCGTAGGTGACCAATTGCCCCTAGAAGAGGATACAGAAGAAGTCAGTATCTTCATACCTAGGTAGAGTCGCACAGCTTCTTTCTTGATGATACAAGGCTGCCATCGAGCGGCCAATATCAAGTCGTCAATATGGCAGGGTGGCTGTGGAGGGGGCGCGTGTGAGTCAAGATGAGACTAGCTCATGGACCGGGCCTTTCGCTCCGCATCTGAAGGCTTGGAGGGCCATCAGGGGCCCATCCTGACAAGTGCAGCGGCTCGGAATCAGCCACCAGGAACCGTGGGGCAGCCGCCCGGGACAGGCCAGGCAAGCTAAGCACAGATCAGGATCTAGCCCGCCAAAGAGACTCTGGGCGTGATGTCATCACATCGGCGGATATCAGACGGTTCGGACGGCAAATCACCCTCGTCACCCGTCCAACGGCCAGGGCCCAGCAAGCTACTACTTGTCTCGCAGCCAGTCGTCTCGTCTGCCCAGATCGACCTTTCATGGTTGTCATTAATTGCCAGCTGCCCTAGCGCACGGCAGGAAATGGCTAGCAGTCTTGGTGAATGGGATGACACGGCAATTCGCCTGTCACGGTGTCAGTGTGTGTGTGTTCAGGTTAGCAGGTTGCTCTAGCCTCCTAGAGACATCATAATTTCATTTTTCGCTTCCTGTTGACGAGCTTCCCTGCTTCGTGTTCCCATAATTGTATCCATCAATTGCATCGTTTTCGCCCGGGACCCCCACCTGCGAACATCTGCATCATCAACGTGTAATATTCTGGTCACAAGTCGGATTATCCCCCAATTCGCGGCACCGCCCCGAGCAGGCGAGAACCAACACGCAGGATGATGCCCAAGCTGAGCCCCCCAGCTGTCGCCGACGAGGACAAGGACCTGAAGCTCGAGACCACCAATGCTCCAGCCGGACAGCCAGTGTCACTGCTTCGAGACGACCAAGGACGCGTGGCTTACCCTGGCTTCGTCCCTCAGCAGCCAGAATCGCCGACCGGTACGAACCCTCCCCCCTCCGCGACCCAACCGCCACCGCCAGGGGGCATCCAGAAGGCAGTATCAGAACCACTCGCTTCAGACCTCGAGCACCCACGAGCAGCCGCGAGGCCACAAGCAGGCCAGAGGTCTGCGACAGCCGCTCCCCCTACCGCAACCCGTCGAACATCAGCGCTGCCGCCTGCCATCAAGCGAGCTGGCACCAACGTCTCGCAGTTACAACAGGCCCTTTGGAACTCCAATCCAAACTTCCGAGATGACACTTCGAGCAGCGACTCCTCCACCGACGACGAGGACCTCGGCGCGGGCGTCGAACGGGCCGACCAGGCGACAGCAGCCGGCAAGAAGCCCCAGCACCCTCGATCCCCAACCACCGACCACTTTCGGCGCTTCAGAGTGGGAAATGAGAATTACACAACAAAGGGCAAGGTGTCCAAGCACGACGGGCGGCTGGCCATCTCGATCAAGGACACAAGTGACAAGGGCTACCTCGCCAAAGCCCTCGGTGCTACCGTTGGGAAGGTCGTGCCCCGGAAGGGAACTGACGAAACCGACCAGGGCGGCGAACCACCCACTGCCGCGAGAAGATCCTCCGAAACAATTGTCACCCCCGAGAGTATCCAATGCCCAAAGCTAAATATCGTTATCATGGTGATCGGGAGCCGTGGGGATGCGCAACCATTTCTCAAAATTGGCAAGGTCTTGAAAGAGCAGTATGGCCATAGGGTCAGAATCGCCACCCACCCCGCCTTTCGCGACTTTGTTGAGAAGGGCACGGGGCTGGAGTTCTTCTCCGTCGGGGGAGATCCGGCTGAGCTGATGGCTTTCATGGTGAAGAACCCGGGCATGATACCTACTTTGGAGACCGTGAGAGCTGGCGACATTGGGCGCAGGCGACAAGCCATGGCCGAAATGTTTGAGGGTTTCTGGAGGGCCTGTATCAACACGACAGACGACGAAAAGGACACCAAGAACGCTCGCATGATGGGGGACAAGCCACCCTTTGTTGCTGATCTGATCATCGCCAACCCCCCGAGCTTCGCACACGTGCACTGCGCAGAGGCGCTGGGAATACCGTTACTCATGGCCTTCACCTTCCCATACACGCCGACAAAGTCATTCCCACACCCGCTCGCCACCATCAAGAAGAGCAACGTCGACCCTGGCTACTCGAATTTCATGTCCTACCCGCTTGTGGAGATGATGGTGTGGCAAGGACTGGGCGATCTGGTCAACGACTTCCGTGTCAAGACGCTTTGCTTAGACCCCGTGTCAACACTCTGGGCCCCAGGCGCTCTGTATCGGATGAACGTGCCCATGTCCTACCTGTGGAGCCCTTCTCTCGTCCCGAAGCCTGCGGACTGGGCAGACGAGATCGATATTTCGGGTTTTGTCTTCCTGGACCTGGCTTCTTCTTTTACCCCTCCGGATGCTCTCGAAAAGTTCCTCAACTCCGGCGACGAGCCTGTCTACATAGGATTCGGGTCGATTGTTGTCGACGACGCCGACAAGTTCACAGAGATGGTATTTGAAGCTGTACGACTCGCAGGTGTAAGAGCACTTGTCTCTAAGGGGTGGGGTGGCTTGGGCGGTGAGAACGTGCCAGACAACATCTTCATGCTAGAGAATACACCCCACGACTGGCTCTTCCCCAAGGTCAAGGCTTGCGTGATCCACGGCGGTGCCGGCACAACTGCGATGGCTCTGAAATGCGGCAAGCCGACAATGGTCGTGCCATTTTTTGGAGACCAACATTTCTGGGGTCCTATGATCGGAAGGGCAAAAGCAGGACCCGAGCCTGTGCCCTACAAACATCTGTCGGCTGAGAAGCTCGCGGAAGGAATCAAGTACTGTCTCACCGACGAGGCACAAGAGAAGGCCCAGGAGATGGCCCGTGACATCGCACGAGAAGGCGATGGTGCAGAGAATGCCTGTTCTTTCTTCCACAAGCACTTGCAGCTCTCTGGCAAACACAGCATGAGGTGCTCGATCCTGGAGGACAAGGCTGCTGTGTGGTGGATGAGGAACACCAGCCTCAGGTTGAGTGCTCTGGCAGCTGACATACTCGTGGACAAGGGATACATCACCTGGCGCAAGCTGAGACTCTTGAGACATTGCGAATACAACGACTTTGAAGGGCCTGGTGAGCCTGTCACTGGCGTCATTGGCTCCATTGCTGGAACTTTCGGAGAAGCGGTTGGTGGTGTGGCAAGCGTGCCAGGCCGACTTGCGAAGACCTCGAACAAACGCCGAGAGCGGAAAGAGAGACGTAGAAGAAAGGCTAGAGAGGTGAAAGACAAATTAAATAATAAAGGCCAAGAGAAAGGGACTGCTAAGACAACTCAAGACGAGAGCGCAACGGGAGACTTGGGCAAATCGGCGTCCAAGGACAAGACCCATGATAGCAAGGAGGAGCCGGCCAAGACAGGAGGCGCTCAAAAAGGCGAAGACGAAGGCAATGATCACGGCAGAGCGTCCATCCAAACGGCCACGACCGAAGGAACAGCGGACGAAGGATACGTGGACCAGGTCGCCGAAGGCGTCGGCAAGTCCGCCCGCGCAATGGCCACGGCCCCCATCGACCTCTCAGTGGCCCTCGCGCAAGGTTTCCACAACGCACCCAGGCTCTACGGCGACGACACCGTGCGCCGGCCCACGCGCGTCACAGGGATCCGGTCCGGCCTGCGGGCGGCGCGGTCCGAGTTCCTCTTCGGCGTCTACGACGCATGGACAGGCGTGGTGCGGCTGCCCTACCGGGGCGCGCGGCACGGCGGCGGCGTGGAGGGGTTCGCCAAGGGCGTGGGGATGGGCGTTACCGGCTTCGGGCTCAAGAACATCGCCGCGGTGGTGGGGCCGTTCGGGTACACGCTCAAGGGCATCAAGAAGCAGGTCGAGCGGCGGCAGCCCACCAAGCACATCCGGCGGGCGCGGATCCTGCAGGGGCAGAAGGAGGCGGCCGCCCTGGGCCCCGAGGAGCGCGACGCCCGCGCCAAGGAGGTCGTCCGCGGCTGGGAGGTGTTCCAGGCGCTGTGGGCCACGGTCGAGGGCAAGGAGAAGGCCAAGGGCGGGCTCAAGGCGCAGTTCAGCGAGACGCGCACGCGGGGGCAGGGGGTCCCTGAGGCGCTGGAGAGCGTTGCCATGGCGGAGAGGACGCTTGAGGAGGTCAAGCGGGGCGGGAAGGTGCAGACTGGGATGAAGGAGTTCCGCCGGTCTGAGGACCTTGCGAGGAGGTCTGGGGATATCTCCGGGAGGCAGTCGGTTGACAGGAGGGGGTCACCTCATGGTGGTGGTAATACTGTTGGGCGGAAGTCGGCGGACCAGGGGCAGTCGCTGGACCCTGCTTCTGCTGCTGCTGCGAGGAAGTCGACGGATAATACGAGTGCTGATAGGCAGAAGAGGCCGGGCGCCTCTGAACGTATTGAGGAGGGCGACGAGGGACCTGCAAGGCCCGTGGAGAATGGGAAGGTGGCTTCTTGATTAACTGGGCATGGCATGGCGTGGAGTTTAGCGACCTGGGTCTTGAAGGGACTGGAATACATATACCCCCTGTTGCCTTTTGCTTTGCGTGGTTGCGCTGGGTAGCTGGTGAATCCCTAGGTAATGAACTAATTGGGGAGGTAATAGGCATAGAGAAGTACCACTAATGAAGATACTCGATGTCGTATCCAATCGAATGGAGTCTTCCCCAAGACACGACTCTCAATTTTATTACCAGCTTTCAGCCAGGTGAGTCCCAATTGGCAAAGGAATTCAGGCATCCTTGTACATTTGCCTGTTTCAACGCACACTTTCTCCTGATCCCGGTTTTGATGATGTCGTTCTCTATACAGTTCAACCCCTAAGATCGTCTAATATCCTATTCAATAGTTGTGGAGTTTGAAGTCATCGCGGCTGAAAGACTTATGCAGCATGCATACTTGAATACGCTATACAACCAATGGTACGTTTTCTCATTTCTAAATTTGAATTAGGGACGGCGCATCGCACATCAAGAGAAACACAACAGCGTCGGGAGTTTACTCAGAACCTTAGAATATGGAGGCACAGCGTCTCGTCAAGTGATTAACGGCCGCCGCCGCGGATGGAAGGAAACCTGTGGTTCTCGCTCCTCTGCCTATAGACCACTGTCACTTTCAGGTCTCGGACTGGAGGGTGATCAACCTTTTGGGCCAGTACCACAGTTGGCGCCCATCACAGAAACTGCTCGATGTGACCATATATTCGAGAGATATTTTAGAAGCCGCATGAGAAATATAAACCAGAGCATCAGCCAGTATCAGCTGATCGGCATCGTCGGTGATCTTATACAGGCATCCGTTCGCCTAGGCAAGAAAGCGGCGTCTGGTGTTGACACCATCTCTCGGGCCGTCCAACGCGCCAGTGGGTCGCGGCCCATCGTGTAGAATCATCAGCCGCAGCCGGTGTGATGAGGCTCGCAGGAGGATCTCGCTGGCGACGCCATCAAGAGCCGGCGTGCAGCCGACTATTGCGAAATGGTGTAGGCCATGTTGCGCAAACAATGGTCATTGGTCAGTCCGTCCAGGAATCGACTTCAGCCGCGCCGCACTGGCAGCCTCGTAGGTCCAGAGCGGTACCCGGCCGGCGAGCTGACCGGTACCTTTCCAACTGCCGGACAGTGATTAGGCAGTCGTACGTACTGTAGCCCCTGTATGAGGGGGCTGCGCGGTCCGCGCTGCCACTTTCGTGATTGGTCATGTCTGCCGCAGCGCACTCGCAGCGTCTGAGATCCAGGACAGCAAATCAGCTTTACTAGTGGAAAAAGAGAAGGGAGCAAAGAAAAAAAAAAAATTGGTAGCTTCTCTTTGATTGAGCGTGTCATCCTTAGTGCAGGGGCCATGCTACTGTAACACAGTTAGCACTTCTTGGAATCGAACTCGCGACCTTGGTGATGCAGCTTACATCTTCTCTGCTACGTTGGGTGTTAGCCTGGCTGGCAATTCGGAGACACGGGCGCGTACATACTATCGTTTCAAATTGACCAAATGCCCGAAGGCGAAAGGATACGTTTTTTTGAATCTAAGTACCCACAGGTCCCAGCTCCATCCTCAATGCTCATGGGACCCTTTTGAAGCTATGATTCTTGCAGCACCTCTGCATTTAAATAAATTATCCTCTTTAGCGCCTCCTTATTATGCCTTAAGTAGTTAAAAGTAAGACTTATATTTAAAAATTATTTTATACTTTTAAAACCAAGCCTTATAAGAGCTATTATATAATAGCTAGGTATTACGTTACTAGGGCTAAAGGTAGGTGCACGGTAAACTAAACGTATTGATAGCAATGCCGGCCCTCTATCAGCTGGGCGCCAGCTGGCTCTTACGTCTAAGCGCTAGCCAGCCTGCAGCCAGGTAGGCATAGGTTGCAACTTGCAGCTCCCGTCACCTACCTGGCGGGAATAGCTGCAAGTCTACAAGCTTTGGTAGATGCATGGTAGCTCCCCACTGAGGGCCGAAGTGCCCAGGAGAGCCGAAAGGGCTCCGCGTTTCAAGCCGAGAGCTTAAAAGGAGAACTTCCCTGCCCATTTGCTATAAAGACCATCATCATCTTCTCTTCTTTCGAAATCCAGACCTCCGTGTTCCATCACCTTACAAGCTACGCATGGCTTATGTATCTACCAATGCTTAAAATCTACGAAAGGCTTGCGTGGGTGCACAAGCCTTATAACCTGCCCCTAGGCCTCGGTGCGGCACCTTAAAAAAACACGCACGTTACGCAAATGCCATCTTTCTAGCCATGCACTTTGCCACTCGCAACTCCAGATGAAAACAACGCAGCACAAAGTTGCACTGAGCTCTACACGTCCTGGCCGCCATGCATCAGCAGGAGAGGGGGACCCTACAAAGCAGGAAAAGCAATTGATTGCTAAGGAATTGGTTTGTAGTGGGGAGCGAGCCAGGATTCGGCTCAAAGCCCTACCCTACGAATTTGGCGAGACGAACACCGAAGGTGTCATTCCTGACAAGACACGTATCATCCAAGAGTGGGCTTCATTGAACAACCAGGGTCTCAATCCCTCAGATCATGAGGTAGAGGCTTTGCAACAAAGGCCAGGTCTGAGTTCAACTCAAATCTCCAAATGGCTACAGAAAGAGCAGGGCAAGATCTTCAAAGCTACACAGCCTCACCACGACGGTCAGATCATCCCACAACGAAAGCGGAAGCGGACGGCGAAAGGCTCTGGGTATAGGGCTGCTCTTGAAAACTGGGTCCACGAACATGAGGGTCGCCTTTGGCAGAATGACGAGGAGTTCACGGATACGCTGCGGAACTTATCTTGCTCAAAGATACAGGTCACGGGCTGGTTTGCTTACCGCCGCAAGAAAGCAAAACTCGAGCTTGAACGTGCATTCAAAGATCCTCGCGGCTTTATTGCTCGCAACGGCCAAGACGGAGACGAGATCCTCTGGGAATTTTTTTCGGCTATTCACTCAGGCGTAACTCCCCCCTGTGCAGGGAAAAGCTTAGCAGCAGGCTTGCTTGGCCTCCCTGTCGAGTTGATTGCCAAACTCATCGATGCGATCAGAGAGAAACCCGACTACGCCTATGAAGTCGAGACAGGCAAGAACCAAAAGAGAAGCGACAGCGTTGACTCGGACGACGGGGCTGCGAATGAACGTCAAAGCGGCAATCTGCCACATAATCCTGCGGACACTGACTTCACCTTCGATGGCAACACAGATTCTGCTGTTACTCTTACAGATACTATCGAGCCCTTCCCTACGTACGTGGAGGCTTCGAGTGATAGCTCAGAATCACACTCTATCTTTCCCGAGCCTTTGATCAATTTTGGACACCTGCTTCCGGAGGCGCAGCCTTGCAATGGTTCATGGACAACGTCTGACATCAAAACTGAGATTGGTCGTTACATAACAAAACTACCACGGTATTGTTCCTCTATCCATTGCCTTCAGTGGCGAGTTTACTCTCGTTTTGAGCCAGAAAATGATGGGATTTGCCGTTGCTGAAGTTCTCTCCATCTGCCAACCCCAAGGGTTGCAAAGCAGAAGGGAGATCTCTCCGGAAATTGTTTTCCCACACGCTCCTTTGCCGCCGCAACACCAGAATTTGGAACCAAAGATCCTGGACTGCCAAAACGGAATTCAATATTCTTTTCCGTATTGCGATGAATCCTACGATGCCGTATTCAATCTTGCAGAGCATCTTGGGTGCCACACCAAGCCATTCTACGTCTGCTCGGTGGTTCATTGTCGGGCACATGTTGGTGAATTTCGGATGACTTATAATCAGTCGTACGCCCATCTTAGACAACATCGTGAAAAGGGAGAGTTGACAGACGTCAAAAAATGGGTATCAAGTCCAAAACATTACTGGATTCGACAACCCCAAGTCATCCGAAGCCATGTCAATAGTCTGGCTAAGAGAGAACTGCTCGCCGCCGATGTTGCGGAGACAGGAATCAAGGAGCCATCGCCAACTGGCGCAGATACGGACCGGTCAAGAAATTCTCGGAACAAATGGTATTGCACCCTCAAGCGCCAGGCTACTGCTTTAAGCCAGTCCGGTGCGGACAAGACAGAGGGGATCTCTGAAGAAATGGAAACTCAAGTTCTAGCTTACAACCTCCAGAAGAAAAGATACGGTAGGCCGTTGATGCATATTCTCTCAACAGAAGGCTAATCCCGGCGCAGCATTCCTTTCTGGAATAAGATGCGACTTGGGAACATGGGGCGGAATGTGTGTTGGCCCTCGGTCGTCGCTCGTCCGAGTAACAGAATCATGTCCGCACAACAATCGACTAGATTGGACCAACACGAAACTCTTCCTAAACCGAGGGAAGACTTGCATTCACTTTGACTGCCGGTGCGTCTCATGCGATCAAGATCTCCACATGGCACAGCAACTTCGAGCCTGGGGATCTCTAAGTAGCGAGGAAGACGACGATCCAAGTTGCAAGACAAGCGGCTGCTCACATCCCCGACTGCATCGAGCTATCTACTGTGCGATGCATATCATGGCATACACAGTAGGCCGACACCCGCCGTCTTGGAAAGGGGAACACAGACTCTCGGTTCTGACCCCGCTCCGAGGCGCCACGAAATGGGAGATTGAGGCTTCTTCAGGTTTCAGGCTTTTCCTTGACAGAATGAAGCTCCCACAGAGCACGAGGTTCGTTGTCATAGATCTTGAGGGCCTTCTCTCGAGAAAACCGCCTGTCTTGGACCAAGTTGCAATGGTGGATATCAATTCATTCACCGCAGGGCATCTCGAAACTGTTCTCAATGTCAACGTCAGCAATGCCCATCCCGTGCCGGCCTGTCAAACACTCGGCACCTTTCGCGATAACCCTCTGGAGTTTGGGAAAAGGGATTATTGGCATTACAATAAAGAACGTCTGTCAGGCGTGCGTGTCAATCTTCTCCAGGCAGCGGAGATGATCAAAGAGAGCGGAATCACGCCACGAGACTATATTGTTGTATGGCATAGGACCCGAGCAGATGTTTCTGCATTGAGATACTTGCTCTCGCAAGCTGGTTTCTGTGATGTCCCCCCCCCCCCGGATGAGCACATAATCCGTCTACCCTATCTTTTCCGGCATAACCTTGACCTGCCTGGAGGCGTCCCCTGCTCCATGGAATTCCTTTTCTCAACGTTCTTCCCCGAAAACAGCCTCCGGTTCACTCATCATGATGCGCTAATCGATAGCAAGAAAGCCACCCTCATGACTTTGCTTCGGAGAAGATGTGTAGAGGCGAGGACACGACGGATTTTCAAAGGACCACAATTGCATAGTCTGTATTCACCTTCAGATTAGCCCGTCTGGAGGGTGCGTGTGGTCCAGCTCTGAGGCTCTTCAGGCCCGTTTCCTGGCCTGCTCCAGCGACTGGGCCTTGCAGTTGGTGGCTAATTAGTCAGGAGTTTACACACAAATAATACACCCCCAACTTCATCACCCCCATTTGTGCTGTAATCGCAGAGCCTCATGGGGGGGCATAAAGCGGCTGGCTGTATTGCCATGGTTGATCTCCCGCTGGTGCGTCCCCTACGAACAAGAGGCACAATGATGAGACCAAGGCCGTCCATACACTCTCGTTCTCAGCCAATAATAGCTAAAATGCCCACTTATGGGTCCTCGAGGCAACTTGTAAATATCTGCTCGCCAACTACCATCGTTAATCTAATCCTCCAAACGTCTTTGGGTACCCAGACACGAACATGGCTACGGACGGTGCTAATGACCCCGGGGAGTCCCGGCGGCGGATCATACTCGACAATGTCATTTACGAGCCTGTGAGCAGTGTCGTATCCTCTCGCCAGCAACGCTCACAGGTCTCCATGTACAATTACAGCGAGCTCAGGCGCATGGATCCTTACAAATACAAGGGGCTCCGCTCCATGCGCAGACGCCTCCGGCTGCTCCGCCTCCACGGCGGGGGCTTGTTGGACCCCGAGATCACCTGCGAGTTGTTCGAGGTTGAATACGACAAGGATGACCAAAACATCGTCAGGAGAGTCTTGAGCAAGGACGAGCGAAGTGCCAAGCGCGAGAGGTATGAGAGGCGCCGCGCCAGCGGGAAGGCCCCGGACCATTCGAGCATGTCTCGGAGCTGGGGGCCAGTGTCCTTGTCCAGGCTACGGGGAAGGTCTTCCGGAGGGATGGAAACCAAGCCACCGACTCGGAGGACGGCGTTGATACTAGGCCTCGACTTCGGGCTCGTAGGTCTGCACGCAAGGGTCTGAAGAGAAACGGGACGGGGGAAGTGGAGGGATCATCTCGACCGTCGGCATTGGCTCCGCAACGGCCGCTGCTCAGCCTCGAGTACCTGGTATCCAGCTTGTCTGTCTTCCGGGCTACACAGCCTCGAGACGCCGTGTACTCGATGCTCGCAATTTCTCGGGACACGGCGCCATTTGCCGAGCCGCGGACCAAGTCCCGGGAAGGATCCGAAGAGGCAATCATCATGTCTACTGTCTCAAGCTTCCTGGAACGCAAGCCCTTTAGGGTCGACTACAGTCGGGCGTACAGTGATGTCTGCAAAGACTTCATCTCATTTTGCATCCAAATCAGCGGAAGATCGGAACCGACGAGGGCTTTGGATATTCTGTGTCGACCCTGGGCGCCTGATCCGGAGGTCACTGCCGGGGGCGTGGTGCACGAGCATCGAAAGCCGATGCTGTACAAGTTCTTCCCCTCTTACGAGCGTGAGAAATTGTGGCCAGTTGGCAGGGCTCGTCGCCAGACATTTCAGGTGTTTCCAGAGTACCACCCTATTGATATAATCTACAAAATAGAAGACCCTGAACAACGTATCGGAGCACCAATTTTACGAAAGCCGGACACGAGAAGCAAAGCCGATTACTGGAGAGATTGCAAAAAAAAGACAGGGAAGAGCACTCCAAAGAGCGTATTGCAACGTTTGAGAGAGATGTAATGCCTTTTCTCTCAAAGAAAAGGGAACCTCCGAAAAAGGCAGAAGAAGAGGGGACTCTGCCGTTAGCGAACAGAATGAGTCTGACGAGGAAGATAAAAGACATGAAGAGGAAGAGCAAGAGGAGCAGAACGAGCAGGACAAGGATATATCCCTTCCTTCTTGGATATCTTGTATTTCAGGGGCATCGTTTGCCCTTTACCGCCATCCTGGTATGCACAAGGCCGGGAGAATCGGGAGAATGAACGCGGACCCCCTGGTAGGCCTTCCTCAGGACGGCCACAAGAACTACAGCGCTGCTCAAAACACGAAGGTCGATTTTAATTCAGGCCGTCGTCTGCGCTTCCGGAAACGCCCCATGCCAGACCACTGCAGTCTCTACACCGAGGGTTACATCCTGGCCAAGATCGAAAGCGTGGCCGAGCCGGCGAGGCTGGGCGCCATCCCGGAAACGTGGACCAAGGTCGCCGGCTGGGAGAACGCCGTCGACGGCCAGACAGACCCGCCTGTGGAGTTCTGGAGGACCCTTGTGGCTGACCGAGGTAAAGACGGCCGGAATCCGCCCTACTACTACGCCACGGCCTGTAGGGAGTCGGTCAGGAAGGGTGGTCTCCGTGGCGGCTCGGTAAACACTGGCGCCCTCATCAACAGCGAGAGGAATTCCATCATTGCTGACTTCTGTCGGCGCGTCCAGGCCGTTGTATGGAACCGCTGCTTGATCAAGACAGGCGAGCCTCTTAATGTTCTCGGTCTGGCTAGCCAACACGTCCAGAAAGGTGACCTCATCCGCATTATCTTCGGATGCACGGTTCCGGTCATTCTGCGGAGAAAAGAGAAGCGAGAGGGAGACCCGGAAAAAGAGAAAATGCAGGACCGAATTGAGTCGATGAAAGCCGCCATGGAAGTGTGCGAAGAGACATGCTCCCGGAAGCTTCGCTATCAGAAGCGGCTCCAGATAGAGCGAGCAAGGGGCAAAGGTCTCGACATGATATGGAAGAAAGAGGTGTTGGCAGAGCTGAAAGAGGTCAATAGTCAGATGAGAAAGTGGAGGGAGCGGGAAGAGGAGGACAAGGAAAGGAAGATTGAGGAGGCTAAAGACCAGGAGGATAGAAAAGACAGGGCAAAGCACCGCCAAATTGCGGCAAAGATGATGAGAGAAGAGGCAAAACTGCAACCTCTTCAAAAATCCAAAACGATGCCAGACGCAGGCCTCAGGTCCGTGGCGATGGAAACAGCGCCTAGTGTGTTGAACGAGGGTGGGCCAGAGCAACCTGAAGGGACTCAGAGCACCCACGCGACTCCTCCTCAGGCGCACGGCCAAGACGGACACGACGCAGTCAGAGAGACAGGGCAAACTACCACAGAGCAGTTGAAGAAGGAGAGACAAAAGAAGAAAGACGAGGCACGGGTGGAAGATCCCAAGGTCTACTACGAGGTCATGGGTGAAGCCTATATACACGGCATGATGGACGGAGAAGCAGTGAGACGACAGATAAACGAGGACGAGCCAACGCGTATGTTTGAGATTCGATAGTCTGGCGCCTTGTATTAGCGGTTCCTCAGAGGAGCTTGAAATGAAGAAACATGATCTAATAACATACCAGGGGGTGCTCTACTTGTAGACTGGGAACCCCATATCTGGGGTCTATTTATCTAGCCGTTAGTGCTGCCACTAATGCTAGTACTGGGTATTGTTTGAGTACAATAATGTTCTAAAAATGGTAATGTGGGAGACAAGGGTAGCATGTATTAATGTTAGACTACTCTTTTTGCTAAAATGTCCCACAGAAACGGAAGTGAGATGAAACAAGACGAAAACAAGAGCTACGATTGAGAAGTACAGACTGCAGTGCCGTTCCAGACGTCTATTCCCCATCTAGATCAACAAACCGATAAGACCAATATGAACACCATATGAAAGTGGCTCCCCCAACTATAACTAATACAACGTAGAATATTGCAGCCTTGATGTCAAAACAATATCAGTGTCATTTTAGACAATATTACATGGATATCGACACGAATGATAGCACTTACTCTGGCCTCTCCATCAAAACTCCGTCCATCGTACAGAGGCGTGATCACAAAGATCGACAAACCCAACAGGAAGAACAAAACCGAGTAGGACATGAGCATGATAGGTGCTTGCCAAGTAAACACCATGTTCCATCTCACTTCAACCTGCGTCCGGGGTTCCTCAGTCTCGACTTGGGCTATCGCTGGTAACTCGTGGTTCACCTCCGAGGCGTGTCTTGGAGTTATAGGCCGTGGCAGGGAAGGCAAACCACGATCAATTTCGTCTTTGCATCTCTCATGCAGGACCATGGCAAGCTGTTTCTTCCAGTTCATCCTTCGAGGAGATTCTCTGATAGATGCAAAGACGAAAGCCTCCGATGATGACAATAACACCGAGAACAGAGACAATACGAGGCTTGAGTACCAACAGGCGGGGCCTAACCAGAATACTGTCGCCGGGGCCGGCCAAGAGAAGCAGCCGATTACTGCCGCCGCAAGAAGAGTACCCTGATGTAGGAGGTTAGCGTCAGCCCCCGTTCGCTGCCAGGAATCTAGATTTCCGCAGGATTCAGGGATTGAAGGAGAAAGACTGCAATTCGGAATGAGTCCATTTACCGCTGCTGCTATGAACTTGTACTCGGCCAGTTTGCGATCTTGCCAATGCTGGAGGTGCGCGAATATTGCCTCATGGTCGTCTTCATTTCTCACACTTTTCGCAATGGCCAAAATCGGCAGCAACGTGTTTTGTCTATAGAATCGATAGTATGGGAGGGTGACTGAGTTCGCAATGAGCGGCCTCGAGAATCCCCACATGTGTCAGAAACACGGTTATCTAAGGACAGGAGCCGGTTAGATCATACAAGAATGGAATCCAAGCAGTAAGTCTTACGCTCTCAACCAGACGGACACTGATTGCACGGCGCACCATGTCCAGGGCATATCGGGTGAACAGAACGTAGGAGCAACAGTCAGCGACGCGCAAGCTGTGAAGTTGAAGCTAGCACGCAGGGCTGAGCAGAGCCGCATCTCACTTTGCATGTGCTGCTGTGGCATCTCACATGACTAATTATTGACCAATCATTTTCTTGTGTCACTCAATGTGTGTGTGACAACTGTTGGGAGGAACCGCGAACCCTAAGGATTTTCCACTTTGTCTGCTCTGAATGATTCCATGGACCTGTGACTTTCGATCCACCTGTGAAACGTTCGTGCCTTTCGGCAACAGGCTCAATCAGTAACATCCGTTTTGGGACATAAAAGGACTTCAACAGTTGACTGCTCACCGGTGCCCCATACTCAGATGCCTCGCAAGCTGTGCTCAGCACATTATTACCATTGTCTGCAATTTTTGCCACGTTTATGGAAAGATATCCTTTCGAGCACATTGACTATAGGTCAATCTCGCAGTGAAGAGTGCACCAAACATTTGCTACAGCATGTCCAGCCGTATTGGAAGTCAGATCCTCTCCTTGGATTCAGTTACTCGCAACACCGCTGTCGAAACGAACGATGCAATCAAACACTGATTAATTGCTGACTCTTCACGGGTATGATTTTTTAACGGGTTCAGTCTTACTGCTGGAGCGGGCCCACGGCCCAAACCCATTGCCTCAAAGACCACATAGGGCAACTCGTGTGCGCTCATAACCCGCACAAGAACAGATGTCCGCTGTGCAGATGAGCGTCCCACCGGCTGCCGGTTTAGTGGATGTTATAGACGCTCGACTTTAACACTTATCGGTAAGTTGCGTGAGGCTTGAATTTTGAGAACCTTGAGCGAAATGAGCAGTTATCAAATGCGAAAATACTTTACTGGTGCCGGGTAACTTGTTCACATACAAATATTTTGTACAGAGCAACGCATGATTGTCTCATTTGGTGCTTAGACCGGGTTCGTGGAATGACAGTGTGGAGTGTCCAATTCACCAAGCAGGAGTAGACTTGGGTTCAATTAATTTAAATTATGAGTATGTATCCCTGGATTTGTACTGCCAATCTCGACTCGAGTCCCTCACGGCCCTCTTGACATCATCTTCGTTATATCCATGATCTTCTCGCAAATGACGAATGAAAGAATCTCGATAATTCCATGTCTCGTCCGAATCCAGATGGCAGTCATTAGCCGGGCAAGTGAAGAGTCTTCCCAAGGCGAATCTTTCCCACCTCGAGTGATCCAGGGTCCTCGCCCGTCTGATATCCACAAGACTTCTTGCGGCTTTCTGTACACTATCTTGGTTGGCTGGCTGCGCTGACCATCTATTGAAAGCATCTGTCATGTCTTTGATAGTCTGGGATCCTGAGCTGCTGGACCTTTTTGGCTTCCAATCGTCCATGCTGACATCAGGAAGGCCGTTGGGCTCGTTCAACCTGTAATAATCGAACTCTTTTGGATACAATTGCGCCATGCGATGGTGCTCGCCCTCTGGATCTCCTATTTCTTCTACCGCCTTTTTCAAAATTGACCTTAAAGTGGAAATATCCTGAGGGGCTGTTCGTCTTGCTGTACCAATGCTGACCCAGTTGGTAACTTTCTTCGGTCCGTTGCGGAAGATAGTCCTCAGCTCATCCAAGACGTTCATGGACGGGTTGTTGGCCCTGGAAAACCCCGCATCACTGAGTAGAGCAGTTGTCCTTGTCCGGCGTTCGTTATGCTTCTTTTTGTTGGGAGCTTGTGAACCCCCTGTCAAGGTCTTCAACCGGCTCGGTTTGCGACGCATAACCTCGCCGTCATCTAGGGCGATTTCAAGTGGTTTGAAATACAAGTAGGCCGCAGTTGCAGCTCTCGCGACCTTCCAAGCTGCCAGATTGGTCCCACGGCCTGGGTTGAGGGGCAGTGCAGCAGGTTCTGCGGTCTGGGCAGAAAAGTTGTCGTACGATCGGAAGACCCAGAGTGGCTTGAACACTCCCTCGATGGACCGACTCGAGAAGACGATCCTGTGTTGACAATGTCTTAGTGAGTTTCGCACGCAAGGAGCTCACTGAGTGTTAGACTTACGCTCTGCATAGTCCTTTTGGGGTTCTGAATTGCATTGCATCATCGTGATCGTGGGCTAGTTCGCCTCTCCTTCGCAACACGTCCTTGATTGCGTTTTCGAGGTTTGTAGTAGCGAACTTATTCTTTGTGACGAAAACCCCAAGCTCTCCAGCATGGTGTACAGGTCGAGGATGCCCGAATACTTGTCCTGCAAGGTTTTCATACTCCTCCAGACAATCGTCCACCGACATGCGGAGTGTCGTGAGCATGATGGTGATCAGTCTGTCAATTAGAACGAGTCGTACTATCCATTATTCTGTCAGGAGCTACTTACGCCCCAGTTGAGGTCCCGCTGATGTAATCGAAGTAATGGCATGGCAAGAAGTTTGACTCTGGTTTGGCGGAATATGAGAAGTCTCTTGGCTGAATGCAGGGGCTGAAACTAGAGATCCTTCCATGATTTGAGTCTTCGTCCGATTTGAAACTTTCTTCGATCATTTGGATACGCTTCATAAGATATTGCAGAAGCAATAGGCTGTAGTATCCGCGAACACCGCCACCATCTGCGAAATCAGCCAAGTTGTCTACATCAGCTTTGGGCTCTCCATGGCCGTCGTACCGAAAGTCAGGACGTTTTGCTTCGCCCAAGGGCTGTCCTGGTTCAATGGACGCCCGTGTTGGTGGGCAGTGGAATCTGCATGGCCATCAAACCCGCCAGTAGGCTCGCCTGCGGGGGCCATGGCTGGCCTCTGAAGTCGACGGTTGCAGGTAACAGATCTGAAACATCGTCCGGGCGAGCTGTGGAAAAAGGCCGCTCCTCCAGGCAGGATACCAGGAGCAAGAAGGCTACGGGCGAAATGTACGGGCGGGGCGCATTTTCTCTTTAACCAGAAACTTGACCTGGTCTCGAGGAGACAGCAATGGATTTCTGGACCTGTGAATTGAGCCTTCCGGTTGGGGGCTGCAGATTTGCCCACCTCCGACCCCACAAGGCAGGGCCAGACTTTGTTAGCTACAGAGCCGCATTCTTGTCCCTAGACCGTGTAAGGCTCTGCACGGCGCTTACCATGCCGATAAATTCCTGTCGTCGTATTGCATCGAAGTCGGTGGTGCAAATACAGCACATTTTCCTGCAATGACGGCTCCTGGTTCAATTGAACGCAAGGGGGCCAACAGGGTCTCGGCGAACCACCCACCGTGATTGGCAGTAGATCAAATGACCCTGACCAGCTTTCGAGGACCGAGTCGTTCCACGGTCATTATCGAGATGGTGTGGATGCTGCTCGACTTCGGTGGTCGCATTTAAATAGGCCAGTCGGTGAGGAAGTCATGGCGTAAATGTGACCGGTGTTTTATAATAAGGCGACCTATTACATGCCTCAACTTCGAGGCACCATTCGAGTAGTAGGGCACATGCACGCCACATGATGAGAGCCTGTCAACCACCTTCTCAAGAGGACGAATTGCGTCGCTGAGCTCAGCGAGAGGTGTTTTCGCCCCAAAGCGTGTCTTCTTGTCATTGGTTATCCCTCTTTCAATAGCGCTCCCAAATATGCAGTGCCCCGAAAAGTGCACTTTTTCAATGCTGTCCTACCCCAGTTTCTGCCGTGTCTGTAATTTTCAACCACTCGATTCAACAAAATATATGCACTGCCGCCTGCTTTTGGGCACACCAGTAGAGTGGGGGCGCCAGGCGTATTGCTAGTGGAGGGTGTGCAGGACCTGCGAATTGTGCCCTGCGATGTGTCCATCATATGGAGAGGTCCCTCCGGGCGCACCATGTGTTTTTACGCATGAAAATTCTGAAATAATGTGATTCGATCACCATGGCTTTGTGTCCAAGCGAGATTCTGCACATCAGATTCAAACGCATGTATCAGCGCCCAATGTATACCACAGCCTCTTCTAATGGTCACCTTCTGGGCTCCTGGCGCAGCTGGCTCTGACACAGCATGACTGTGCCCTGCATGCCCCAAGTCCTCCAATCAGAGCAATGCCTTTCCCCCTCGGCATTTCAGGAGACGATTTTGCCTGGAAGGGAGGGGGCGTGTGTATATTAACAGAACTAGTATCTTCAAGAGTGGGGAAGTCCAGAATTTGGAATTTGGGGGTGTGAGGCTTAGCTGCAGGCGGCCACATGGCCCCCTTACGTTCGTGTCTTTCCAGACATTTCCTAGGATTGGCAGTGGCCCCTTTTAACCCCCCACCTCCGGAGGACTGTGGTGGGTCACCCAGCTAAGTCATGAATAAGCAGTGGTATTTTGTTCCATGAAAGTAATCAGATATCCAAATTACACGCCCTTGCCTGAAATCATCTCCTGCGATCGCAGATATGAGATATATTTCTCTGGTCTCGGGGGTTTCAATGTATTCTTTGATATAAGATTCATGTCGGATCGTCCCGATCCACCAAGACCGCCAAAGATTGTTTTCGATGAAACGAAGACCATCCTACCCAGGACAGGAGGCACTACAGATGGGTGTGAAATTAACTAAGTGGCGTGCCTCCTGATGGCCCGGGAAGTATTGCCCTTGTCCTGCCATCCTTTACCATGTTCGCATAAAGATGCTCTCTCCCCCTCCCATGCTACTTCTAGTTCGAGGACCTTCAACATCCAACACCATTCCTCAGAGTGAACACCAATGTGATACTCCACACTATCTCACTTCGACCATTTTTGATACACTTGCCAACAAAATGCCAAGAACACACACGGGCTCATCCACAACCCGTTCACCCCAACAACATATTCTGATCCTCGATCTGAAAGACAGATCAGGGATCAGCACAAAGAAAGTTGCTGATGCTCCTGAACGACCAGGCCAAGGTGGGAACTCACTCATTACGACACGTGGACATAATATATACGATATGTTGCTGATATTCTGGTGTTATTGCAGCGCACTGGTCCTTCGAGATTCCCACTGCCCCAAGAAAAAAAGAAGATTGTTGGGACCTCTTCATGACAACAAATGGCAATAGCAGCTCAGTCCAAGCTGTCACGCCATCAAACCAATCGGAGCAGGGTCAGTTCATAGGAAGACTCGATCTGGAGCAACTCGGCTTCTGGGACAGGAAAAAGCGAAGGGACGGCAAGCTTCGGCAAGCCCGCATAGTGAACACATAATGACATGAGCACGCCCAGGAACAAGTTTCCTGGACTGCTCGTCCGATCAGAGCAAGGATCACCAAACTGTATGAATATTGGAGAAGCTCAAGTGGAGTCCCTTGACTTAACCCCAAGTGGTATTATGAAGAACATCATGAATAGCTGTGAAATGGACCGCCTGTGTTCGCACTTCCACTGGCATGACTCCAGAAAATGCCTCGTATTGACCTGCGCCTTTTCTTCGGGGCCTTCGTCTCGGGTGACCGGTGCTGACGGGCGCATGACAGATCATCCTTAGGGCGTCGCAGCTTACTTGTTGAGTAACCTCTTCCACGGCGTGGTATCATATGATCATTTAGCTCTCGGAAAATATCGGGTGCGACATGGGAGGGTACACTGCTAATGTTGAGAGCACCTGCTGCCTGTATTGTGTCGCCACGCGTGAAATTCATCGTTAGTACCAGGTTCCGAGATCGTATGGCAACCAGGTGCGGAAGGCAGTTGGCTTTCAATGGTGCTGGAGCTTGATTTCACTCTCGCTTCAGGCACTCGTGAACGCATATTTCAAACTTCTGAGAGAGATAAAAATCAAATGGCATGGCGCGTCCTGTCTCCGGCTCGGTGGCAGCGATCCAAGAACACCGTGTCGTCAGCAAGTACAAGAATTGAACTGTCAGATATCTTCCAGGTTCTGAGCGACGATGAGACCTGTTTCTCTGTTGGGGAAGACATGCTAAACGTAGGGCGTCATGCTTTAACTCTTTGAGCTGTGGAGCTGTAGCCACGCAAATGGACGAATTCGCTCTTAAGCATCCGCATTCAGGGTGAAACAAAATTCGTCCAATATCAGAAAGGTTTTCTCATAACTGCAGCGGACCTCAGATGTCTAAGAATATCGGGTAGCCTGAGAAGAAGCATTGCGTTCAGCACCCGGCCCCGGTTCACGTTCGGCGTGCCGGGGTACGGGTAGACCGCTCCCGTTCCAATGTGTGAGTTCATGGCTTCCATGATCTATCTCTGAGCTCAGATCCAATGGACCGTTGTGTGCGCAATCTTTGAGCCTAATATGCAGAATTGAATAGGCGCCATGAAGCCGGCATTGAATATCACGGTGATTACACGGCGTTTCAGGCCTTCTGTCTGTCTCTCTTGCTGGTACCTTGCAAGGATGTGGGGCCGTAGATACCACCATAATAGTGCATGAAAACAGCAATGTCCTCCTCTTCATCAAGCAGGGGATTAAGGCCTGCGCTTGAAGATACGCGCTGTCTGGGTCAACTACAGGCTCGACACCAGGAGTTGGAACTAGATATGGGTCTGGTACCTTGCAAACGGCAGGATTTTGATTTCTTGAAAAGCTTGGATGACGCTCGAAGAAGTAGACAAGAGGAAAGGCTTCCGGGCAAATAGCAATATTGCCTGATCAGACTAGTCAAAGGTAGACCTTGCGCCTCAGTCTAGACGTTGAGAGCACCAAAGTCCACAAGCTGATATGGGAATATGACCTGGGTGCTTGGGATTTATACGTGTGGTGCTTTGCTGGCCCGTTTTTCAAACTCAGTAGCTTTAGCCACTTCCCTAACTCCTTCCGTGGAGAATCATGTCTTACCAATGGAAATTGGCACATTCTGAACAAGCTACCCTGGAGCTCTGGATGATGTATAGCGAAGGCGGCTTGTATAATGAGCTTTTTCATGCCTTGGGGACAGCTTTTTCTATCGTAAAATCTTCCTGTGATAATCTTTTAATGATCTGTATACAGTGTATATTTCCGTAGAAGCTGAATGGAGGCGGAAAGAGACAATAGTAGTGTGGACTTGGTAAGATGAATCTCAGGAAGTTGTGCGATCTGCGCTGGCTGGTTGAATATGTTATATTATATGCACAGTCGGAAGTTGCCATCGCAGTATGCCTTTGATCACTTTTGTCATGTTTCGGAAACAGCTTGAAAATTTGGGTGTTCCCTAATTGTGCTCAATTCGTCCATCGGTGTTGTGCCGCCAGTGATCGTCGATGTTCTAGCCGGCTTGAACGACCAAGTCTCCAAGGTTTCCATTCGGGCGGGCGGTCAGCTTACTCTATACTTTACACTTTGTGATCTTCTCATCATCAGCTGCTCAGCTGCTCGGCATCTCCGCGGGTCCCCGAGACGCGTTGTCCAATTGAAAGCCCTCTCAACTTGATTCTCACATTGTACTCGGCAATTGTCGCATTTTAAACAATTTTGCAGATATCGTACGGATGACGGTATGGTATTGGTGTCAAGTAGTCACCCATAATGCTGGTAAACATTCTGACCGACTGTTCCCAATAAGTAAGTTCCCGCTGATCATATGATCCAGAGGACTTCCCGGCTGTCCCCTGGGTTTCCAGTCCAGATGCGTCGTATCAAGTCTCTCACGGAAACAACTCATTCTGACGAGTCTGGGCTCATTATCAGAAGGTCCCAATGGTGTTCGAGTTCCCAAGTATATGTATGTTATGGTTCGAGTTTGGCCAGGCTTTGGCTTTGGAGTGATCACCCTGGCAGATTGATCTCATCCACACTCCAATTAGGCAAGCTTGGCAGTACTGGCCATACTTTATTCGCCGATGGCTGCTCTGTGCTGACCACAGTTCAGCATACGATCTGTGAGCTCGGCTTGCTAGGTGCCAGGTTATCTGTGCCGGATGACGATACGGGGACCTATGTGACGAGATCACTGCTGCTTTGTGTATGGTATCCCTCAGACACGACTTCATGCCTTCTTAGGAGCATGATAACTTTCTGAGTTGCAGGTGCTCTCTAGCTATATGCTTTTTTGGTTTCTTGTTCATCCTGGCGGTATCATGAACACTTGAATGTAGCACATCGTGTTTTCGATGATTTATCTGGCGCGACTAATTGACACTTGAATGCCATGTGTTGGCGCACAGGGCACGTATGAGGAGTCGCTTGTCAAAATTGACCACAAGTCATGTGTTGAAAAAAGATCTTGCAAGCAGGAAGCCCACGACGTCTCGGCGACAACTTGGCGGAAGGATCTAGGGAATTCTCTAGGCGCGTCAATCAGCGGCTCGGGGGCGCTAATTATGTGTCCTCTAATAGCCCAATAACACGCAGTCCGCAGTACCCCAAGAACGACCGGCCGCCGGCTACGCGGCCCAAGGATCATGCAAACGGTTTGATTTGCTCCTGCAAGCTGACCTTGGCCAGTCGCTGGTTGCCAATGGACTTGCTGAGCTGAATCAAGGACAGCACAGTACGGTTTCTCATGCAGAATCCTTCTAGCACTGCCGGGACTAGTGCTGACAGCAGCTCGGCTTCTCACTGGTGAATTTTACTAGCACTCCAGTGTGTTTGTACAACCACATTTGAAACACGGCAATTGGATGATCTTGTTCGACGCATTCTTTTGCGGGAGTAAATAGACAGGGTGATCGATGGCGTGGTTGGTAAAGTTTACGAACTGAGGACGAGGGTCAGGGGTCAAGTGGTGAATACTGTGCGAGGAGCATCGTGACCATTGGCCGCTGATGTCGATCAATTGATCCTTCCGAAAGCCACCCAGCCACCTCTAGACGCCCTCCCGCTTCATGTCCTGCCTTTCATTCTGTACTACTCCCTACCATCCAGGGACACTTCGTGAACAGACCTTGACGTCAATGCCCCGACCGCGGTCGCCTGATTATCACGAGGGGAAATGACTACGACATCGGTCACCCTCAAAGGGGACTGGGTTCCTTCCAACCAAGCCAACTGCCTCAAGACGGACGACATATGGCAGTGGGACTATGGCATCCCCGAAGACCGAAGGACAGTCGTGGGCGGGCCGTCGCAGACAACAGAATGCCTCCCAAGAGCATGGAGCAGGGCAATGACATACGCAGGCACGCAGTGTCCTCCCCGGTACACCGAGGCCTGCCAGGCGGCCGGGGATAGCTTGGCCGTCGTCTGCTGCCCCACGATACACGACTTCTCCTGTCAGCCGTCGTCAGATCTGGCGACCGGCCCTCACGCCTCCATCTTCCGGTGTATGTCTCAGTACACCGATTCGGGCTCTTGGGTCGTGACGCAGACGTTCATGACGGCGGCAGAGGCGAGCACGAGTCTCGCGACCCCGACATATGGCCCCGCTTATCACCTCTTTGCCCTCGCAATCGTCTATGCCACCCCGACTTCGGTATGTGTGTTCGGAGGCCAAAGGCGAATGGGATGTGTGCAACGTTTTTTGTACGTCAAGATCACTGACTCAAACGTTACAAATTGACAGACAACGGACTCCTCGACTGGTGGCACCGTCTCACCAACCGATTCCACTTCCTCTCCAACTACCTCTTCAAGTAGCGACGATTCGTCGAGCGGGAGCCTTAGCGCTGGGGCGAGTGCTGGAATTGGTGTTGGAGCGGCAGCAGCCGCGATATTGCTCGGTGTAGCCGGGTGGTTGCTATACAGACGAAGAAAAAAGAACTCCAGGTTGCGAGCGGAACCTCCGAATGCCGGTCCAATGCAACAAGAAGATGGATATGGGTATTATCAGCATGGAAGCACAGACCCAAACAAGAGCCACACACAATCACTGCGTTCAGAGCTGCCACCGAGTGGGCCACAGCGTTCCGAGCTGTCCGCACAGACTCCGGTAGAGCTTGGAACTTGAGGTCAACATGAGGACAGGATGCCGTGACTCATCGGTCTGTGTTTCGGGGAAGCACTCACCCAGCTAAGAAGATGTTAGCTTTGACTCCGGTGAGGAAAAGGCCTCCGAAGGTGAAGAGTCATATAGTATTCAGCATCTTCGAATTGTGTACATTAATAAGCATTCCTAGCAAAACGACATATTGATCTTTGACAGAGAGGCGTATTTGAGAGGAGGATTACTGCACATATCAGACACAAGCGCGGCTTCCGAGGACCGTTGACCTCCGCAGGCTCATTATGAGTGCTCACCTGTTTATGCGTCGGGAATGCTTCAAGAAATTGCTCTCAAGAGAGAGTAAGAACTAGGAGAAGCCAGTCGTACTTCGCCATGCGTTCCACCCTTTTTTGCAAAAGGCTGTCTGCCAACATTGAATCATGCTGTGCCACCTTGGCACTGCGCGGTTCGCAGTTGGGAGAAAGTGCTGTTCGAGAACATCCGTGTGCAACCCCGCCATACATCGCACGTCACAACACATTTCCAACTTGACAACATCAGCAATGGTTCTCGAAACCCAACCGCTATGGATGAGCAGAGTTGCCCCGAAGATCTGTCCGAGATCTTGCGGGATCGGATTAACAATCTCAAACTCCTTCAAACAGCAGACCAACCTACTCCTCGAATGCGACAAAGAATAACAGTCGCAATTGAGTTATATAGCAAAGCACTCGAACTAGAAGATACCCATCCTCTCGACCCGGAATACCTCGGAATCCTCGACTTGGTGCAAGATAGGCTCGAAAAACACTGGACCGAGGCCCATGGAAACCTTGCATCACGCTGTCGCCTTGTGTTGAACCTTGCCTTCTTCCAAAGATTTTTGGCCAGAACACTGCTGGAGGACTACAGCCGGCAACCCTACAGTCCTAGCCCCTTATCCTTGCATCGCGCCTTCTTGGTCAGATACGCCAGCACACACCGTGCTGTATCGGATGGCGGGTGGGAGACCCCTGATGCTGACGCAGGGTCTGCCACAAGTGACAGCAAAGAAGGGCTGGCCAGCCACGATACATCTACCGTAAGCGACGCCAACGAGGTCTGTGGCGAGGCAAACAACCCCACAAGATCCCGTATCAACAATGCCTCCTCCTCCGGCTCTTCCGACAGCGACAGCCTCGAGAGCGACGCATTGCTCGAAGAATACGCGAGAGACGTTGTTTATCCACTAGAGGAGTTGCTACTTGAAGGTCACACGGACGCTATCAAAGAAAAACTGCTCGCATTAGAACCAGAACGGCGATATCCAGGCGGAGAAATCCAGCGCCTGATAGACCACTGCGACTGGCCCGGGCTTTTCGCAGCTATCAACAGCGACCGCCGGCTTTCTATCGATCTTTTCAGACAGAAACCAGTGGTCTCAGGGGTGTTCAAAGACCATACCAAGGAGACGGTGTGGACGGGCATGGACAAGATACGGGACAAGTACTTTACCAAATCCAAGGATGGTAAAAAGTATACGGTTACCAAGTATGCGAGGAGGTTGTCTTCCAAGAAAGCCGTGGCTTCCGGTAGTATCGGCGACGAGCCCCATCCAACATTGTCGTCAACACCTGGGGAGGGCTGGGAGGGAATGTCGTGGCGAGTCGCCGAGAACATCTTCAAGACATTCGCGAGCGGGCTTGCGAGTGGACCAACAAACGCAGCTTTGAGGCTCAAAATGCACACAATATTTGACACGGCCAAGCAAAATGAGAAGGATCCGCTGCTTCGTCCAGATGACCAGCTTTTTGATCAAGAAAAAGCCGAGTAAAAGGAATTCAGGGTTCCAGGTATCTACTTTTTGCTGGCTCTAGGAGGTATGAAAAAGTCAGCTGACTCCGATTACCAGGCTCATAATGCAACACTCGGCAAATTGCTGACAGCATGAAGCGATGGCCGTCCATATGATGCCGATCGCGAAAGGGATGAGGATCGATACCAGTACATTATCTACCATGTCAATTGGTGAACTTCACTGTATACTAGATGGTCCTCCTGGATGGCAAGAGGCCATTGTGTCCACCATAGTTGTCACTGGTCCCAGCATAGCTAGGTAGCGTAACCAACAGCAGCGGCTCCTTTGCCTTGTCGATGTCTCCATCAACTGGTCGTGGCTAAGACCTACGTGATCTAGATGCGTGTCTGTTTCACCGTGAGCAAGCGTCTTTCCGCGCCTCACCGGCGGACCGGGACCCGAGAGGCCGTGAGAGCGCTCCTTGGAGCAGCGGAATAGTGGCCACTACCAGGCCGAAACTTCGTCATTGTGCATTTGGGGAACTTCCCAACATTTGTGGGAAGTAGTGGTCCTGCCGGCAAAAGGAGAACTCTAGTCCCCTTCTTGCCCATTTCGTGATTCTCCGTCCTCTCTACATGTACTATCTTTTCGTCCATGTATACGTCATGATTGTCTTCCGTGACAGCTAGATACTGAATTCCTAAATATTGTGCCATCGAGCGCTATAGCCATCTTGTCCAATAACACAATCGAGGGGGTAATAATTACTCGATCGAAAAAAGGACCATGCAAAACTATCTTGGTATCTTGCGCGAAAGATTGATTCGTCTTACCGTCTTGTTGATCCCAGATTAGAGAAACTTCATCTCAAAAGGATGATATAACGCGAGAGTCTGTTGTTCGTGTCTGATAAATGCATGGGCTGCAATGCTACTCCGCATCACCCGGGGTGCCAAGTCATGAGTGATCGCAGGTCTAGACTCTCACAAGCATCCGAATGCCAGATTGACCCAGCAGTCTGGGACGATCCACCCCGGCGGGACGAGTTAAAAACAGGGAGCCGGATCCCACTTCTAGCCCTCTGCTCGGGACTTGACAGGTCACGCAACAAAAAGGTCGAGCACGAAACGACGGCCACAAGCACAGCTTGAAGTGTAGCACCGTAGCGTACCACGGGCGAAAGAAGGCGGGCCGGTCGAGCCGTTGAGGAGAAATACGGCCGAGACTCACCCACAGCACCAAGCAGCGCCACAGCCGCTGTCACCCACCGGCCGCTGCATTCCTTCAGCCGTTCATTGAGATCATCCCAGACGACGGGCTCCGGTGGCTGGGTGGGCGGCTCCATGTCCTTTGCCCAGTCCCCCCTGGACGGAGACTGGGGAAACTCAGGAATTAAGCACACGCTAGGGGGTCCAGCTTGCAGGGGGCAGGGAACATGACTCTCGCTAGCGCCTCCTCATCACACGTGTCTCTTGCACACACACACCTCCTTCGGCTGTCTCGTCTCCGACGCCCTGCACTGCCCATCCATGACTGCCATGGTAGCACCGCGGCGAAGGTGAATCCTGGCACCCCTACCTCCTGCAGCTGCTGAACGATGCGCCGGCTGCTCTTGTATGTGTCTGAGGGAGGGGTGCATTGGGAGGCTGAACAAAGACGGGCGGACTCGACCCCGTACCGAAGCCCGCAGCAAAGCCCGCAGCAGCTTCCTTTTCCCATTCTTATTAGTCGGGAACCCAGGGTCGTATTTATGCAAACAGTCGAGGACTAGTTGGTGATCAAGTGGATGGGGGCCCCTCTGGCGGGCTAATAGGACGGACAGGCCACTACCCTACCTCTTGTTCCTCTTTCCCTCGGTGCCAACTCGTATTGCTCATCTAAATCTCACGCTCGCCTGCTCCAAGCCCATCTGCTGTCCTCCAAGCTCCGCTCCGACAGCATCTTCTGACCAGAGAACTGTTCTGTCCCACAGGCTCATCGCGGGTGGGGACCAACAAAATGCCCCCATCACGGGCACGCTGGGCAGACTGAACCGAAACAAAAACGCACGAGTGCACCAGAAAAAATGGCTCCAACAAATAGCGACCAGGACTCGCACGACCCGGGCCCGGACGAGCAAAAGGTCCGGGTCCAATCCGGGACCACGGGCGCCAAGATGGCTGCCGAGGTGGCTCCGCAACATCCATCACACCCATCAGAGCGAGCAGCGCCCGCCAGCAACAACACCACTAGCAGCCTCAGCTCCACCGCCGCTTCCGACGACCGCAGACGCCAGATCAACCGCGACGACTTCTCGGGCCTGCAGGTCGTCGAGCCAGGCCTGGAGGTCCCCCACAGCTCCCTCCCCGAGGCCCTCCCCCCCTCGGACCCGCAGACCCAGTTCGTCGAGTACAAGGCATGGGGCGAGAACGCGCCGCCGCCCCAGGCGGTGCATCCGTCACAAAACAACCTTCCAGGCGGCGGCGGGTTTCCCTTCCCCGAGGCGGTCTCGCCCGGCGGCGACACCGCCTACACGCCCATCAGCCAGCCCTACAGCAAGACCAGCAGCGCCACGTACAACGGGGGCCACAACCCGTTCGACGGCGAGAAGCAGCAGCAGCAGCTCGGCGAGAAGAGGATATGCGGCCTGCGCAAGATGGTCTTCTGGTGCGTGCTGGCCGTGGCGATCTTCGTTGTCGTTGCAGGCGTGGCCGTCGGCGTTGGCGTGGGGTTGGGGACGAGGGATGATGGCTCGAGGTGAGTCGGATTTTTCTCCCTGTTTTCCTTCTGCTTTTCTCACCACCCCGCAATCTGTGCGACACACGCATCTTTGGAATGGGCCGAGTTGGGGAGGATTACTCCCCGGCTCTTCCCGGGTCGTCCCCCGTCTCCAAGCCAGCGAACAAGTCGTCGCAGGTGAAACCCGGGCGCGGATCGGCTCGCCGGGGAACGGGCAAGACGGGAGGACAAGTGGGTGTGGGGACGGCATTCATGCAACGGTCGATTCTTGTCATGCTTTGGCAACACGGCCCAGCGGGAGCCAAGGCGATGCAGCAAAGACGTTCACCCCTTCCCGCAAGAAGAAGCAAAAAAACTGACTCGCCCCGTGTGACCCAACAGCTCAAATCCGACGTCAACAGCAACGAGCACCCACAGCGTGCCGTCAGCGACAGCGACGGCCGTGGCATCCCCGTCGGCGTCCATCATCTGCCCCTACGCCAACAGGACCGTCTACAGCCTCGAGTCGAAGACCGACAAGAACTTCCTCGTGATGTGCGGGCGCGACTACAACAGCTGCTGCGGGGCCGTCGACATGCTGACCGTCAACACGACCAGCTTCGAGGACTGCCTGGAGCACTGCGGCTCGCAGGAGGGGTGCACGGCCGTGGGATGGGGCAACTACTACGGCGTCAACACTTGCTGGCTCAAGAGCGCCTGGGGCGAGCCCAACTGGAGCGGGAGCTGGTATGCTGCTGTCCTGGTCGACTCAATATGAGGTGTTCGTTTACAAAAGCTGGAGCTGGGCCTTGGCTAGTTGGAAGAAAGTAAGACAGGAAGAAGGACGACGAGCCTCCACCATCGACATTGACACCAGCATCGCGATGACTCGAGCAACGTGCATCACTGGGGTGGAATACAGTCCCACAATTACAGATCTTGAACGGCAACAAAGACCGTCTGAATGATCCATTTACGAGAGGCAGGGACACCAAGGTATCTCCAAGGAGATGAACACAGCAAGGGAAAGGGAGGACACATGCTGTTTTGTGACGAGCGACACGGAGTTCAGGATACGGCGCAAATACTGGGAGCTACCACAAGACATGAAACACTGTCTCATCTAACGGCCGGGCAACGTGGGAAATTGTGTTTGAACATTACTTGCGAATTAGATATTGTGTAGGCCTAATACCGACACCATGTGCCAACCCATTCAATTTACCACCGCCCCGGAAAAAGAAAATCCAGCCTCACTTCTTCCACATCAGCACAAGCCACGCCACAAGCCGATACCCAGCAACGATCCCAACCATAATCCCGACGTTCTTCCCGAGGTACCCATCCCGGTACCCAAACTGGTCCAGCACCCCCTGCCCGTCGATGCGGCACTCGGCCGCCAGGTTCGTCTCGTACATGCAGCGGCACCCCCCGCCGCACCCGTAGCTCCGCCCGGAGAACTCGTTGACCATCATGCCCTCGAACACGTACTTCTGGTAGTCCCAGTAGCTGAAGACATACTTGTAAAACACGTTCAGTACGGTCGGCTGCACCATGAACCCGTTGACGCACATCCACAGCCCGTTCGCGAACGCCACCAGCGCCAGCGCGACGACAAAGTTGGGCGCCAGCGACCCGACCACGACCACGAGGCTCTCGGCCGCCAGCAGGTCCAGGAACACCCACATGACCCAGGTGAAGAAGGCGGACGCGGACGGGTTGAAGTTGGACAGGTAGTACGAGATGGCGCTGAAGCCCAGCGCGATCAGGAACAGCGGCGGCGCGCCGATGAGGAAGTTGGACAGGACCAGGTGCGACGACGAGTATAATCCCGTGCTCGACTCCTTGACGTACTGGAGGCGGTCCTCGAGGAAGGCCGGGACGTAGGCCACTGCCATGAAGGACATGAAGGCCGAGCCGAAGAACTGGGGGGCGAGGCATTGCGAGTCAGTTGGCGTACGCCGGCCATGGCAGATATCAAGTGGGGAGGAAGAAAGGGACAAACTCACGATGGCGTTGATATACGGCTGGATGTACTCCTGCTCCGTCTTGAGCCGCACCCACACGGTGCCCATCATGACCGCCAGCCCAAAGTACATGGCCATCCGGACCCCGTACGCGATCACGTCGCGGTAGCTCTTGATGAACGACCGGTGCAGCAGCGTGAGCACCAGGCTCGCGAACCCGGGCCTGTGGCCCTCCCCGGCCGCGTCCACGAGGAGGTCCGCCTCACCGCCGCCCTGCCGCTGCTGCGTCTCGCAGTACCTGACGATGCTGCCCAGCTGCCCCGCCAGCGGGCTCGCCAGCCACGCGCGCCTCGACGCCTGCAGCCGCTCCTTCGCCGCCGCCCCGCCTTCCCCTCCTCCTGGACCCTTCTCCTCCCCACCGGCAAAGTCAACACTAACCTGCTCAAGCAAAAACTCAGCCGGGTTAACATGCAGAGGCAGCGCCCGCCCAACAGACTCGTAATATGCCCCCACCGCACCCAGCGGCCCAAAGAAGTGCGTCTGCCCGCCTCCCAGGAGCAAGAGCTTATCAAACAGGTTAAACGCCGCCGTGGAAGGCTGGTGGATACTCGCCACAACAACCAGGTTATCCCGCCGCGCCACCGCCCTCAGGTACCTCACCACCTCAAGGCTAGCGGCCGAGTCGAGCCCCGAGGTCGGCTCGTCGAGGAACAGCACCCGGGGGCAAGTCATGAGCTGCGCGCCCACGCCCGCCCGCCGCCTCTGGCCCCCCGACACCCCGCGCCGCACGGGGGTGCCGATCAGCGTGCCCGCCTGCGCCCTGAGGCCCAGCGCCGACAGGACGTCGTCGACGCGGGCGGACCGCTCGCGCGCGGGGAGCCGCGTCGACAGCCGCGACGCGAAGGAGAGGGTCTCGCGGACCGTCAGGGACCCGATCAGGGCGTCCTCCTGCTCCACGAAGCGGCTCAGGCGGCGGAGGGTCGCGGGCTGGGGCGCGGTGCCGTTGACGCGGACGGTCCCTGTCGCCTTTGGGCCTTTAGCGTTGGTGGCTTTGCTTGTGATGTTTGCGGCGGTGGTGGGTGTGGCTGATGTGGTGGGCTGGCGGCCCGAGAGGACGTTGAGGAGGGTCGTCTTTCCGCAGCCCGAAGGCCCCATGAGCGCGAGGATCTCGCCCGCCTCGACGTAGCCCTGGACGTTGTCCAGCAGGGTCTTGGGCTGCTTCGTCTCGCGGTCCGTGACGGTCACGGTTATGCCTGACCACGAGATGTTGTGCACCGTCGTGTTCCTGAGGAGGTGCGAGCCGGCGCCGCCGCCGTGCTGCTTCTCTATGTCCGTGTCCGGGTGGTAGGGCAGCATCTTGGTGGCTGAGTTGCTCTCTGAGTTGCGGGCTTCTTGGCCTGTGGTTGATGTGGTAATGGTGGTGGTAGTATTGGCGGTGTTGGCCATCTTGGGGGATCTGGGATGGACTTAAGGACAACACCTAGGAATGCAATGGAGATGACGGGCAAGATATGAGAGCAAGTAAGGCTGGCAGCTATGCCTTGATAGCTGAGGTATATAGACAGGCCAACAGTCTAGGCAACCCTTGTAGTGAACACCGAAAGGATTATACGAAGGGTGATAGCCCGAACAAGGGTAACACCAAGGTGATGACAACAGAAAGAGAGTGGATCTTTTATCTGGGGAGGAGCATGCACGACCATACCGTCAGCACACCCTTCGAACCCGACGACACGACGAGGCTGTGTCAGAGATAGAGACCGCTGTCCTCTCAAGAGCCAACAGGTCATGTCATCACATTACATCTTCCGGTTCCGGTAAGACAACCAGCCAACCAGGCACGAAAACTCCAGCTCAGACGACCGACCCGATGCCCTCCCATCAGGGCACGGCACAGTAGCAGGCATTAGCCTACACGGCCGGCTCGATGCGCCGGGCTGGGTGGGAAAACACACACAAGAGAAGACAGGGGACGCAGAAAAAGACGGTGACTGACGATGTCCTCCTCCATGACACAAGGCAACCATAAACGGCGATCTTATAGGCAGGGCGGGATGAGTGGTCCCAGAACGAGGACGAGGACGACATCGGAATGAAGGAGGAGAGAGAGAGAGAGAGAGGCAGACGAGGCGACCAGGAGGAGTTCGTCCGCCCCGCGAACCGCACCCACTCTCCTCACGAACGACGCTCCTCGCCCAGTCGTCAGCTCCATCCAGTCCTCCCTCCTTCCGAAGCAGGTATCACCAAAAACCGGGAACAAGGTCAGGGCTGGCTCCCGTCTGCAATAACGCCAGTGTGACCGTCAGAGATTGAAGAAACCATCGGGCCCGGCCGTGTGTGACGAGGAGAAATGAAGTCAAGCCCAGCCGTTTCTTGCCCGCCTTCTCTAGCACTGGGAAGAGGGCGGTGTCAAAATGTCTTGGCCAGGGCCTGGGGGAACCATTTACCACCCAAGCGCCCTCCCGTCGTCACCTCCGACTCGCGGCAGGGACGGAATTCCCACACCGCAGCCAGCCGTTTCGGTCCTCGGAAACCCACATGTACCGGGCTGAGCCGGGCTGCCGGGACGGATCCCTGCGTTGTTGGTGTGGATATGTGGGTGTGTGACTGTGGGAACGGAGGAGGGCAGGATTAGAGATAGAGTTTGTGGGGCCTACCAGAAATAGATTGCCCGTGCCTATGGCCTCCCACCTAAGAAGGGCGGAAGCTTAGTCTCTAACGGGGGTGGACAGTGCCACCAGACCAGGCTCCCATATACTAGAGAATAAGGGTGGGAAGTTGAGGTCGGCGACCTCGAAAGCAACCGGTGGGGCCAGGCAGGCCGGGATACCCATTACCGTCCAGTCGATAGGCCACAGGTGTGGGTGGTCATCGGGCTTCCCATCCAGTCGGTTCGAGGGTGGTGCCCGCAGCAGGGCGCGGCTCGGCCGTCTTACCGCATTGGACCGCAGGGCGAGAACACAAGTGGACGGCGACCAAGAGAACTCGCTCCCGGGAAGGAACACCACCCCTGCCGACCTTATTATCATCGGGCGAGGCTAGGTGAGGTTACATCTAAGAGGCATACTGTGCTGCAGGTTCCATGACGATGTTTCGTGTGTGCCTTTTTTTCCTTTTCCTGGTTACAGGATCGAATATCTCCAGCAAATCGCCAAGTCTGCGTTTCCGGTCGCCGCGCAACATCAACGTCCGAGTGAATTGTCACCGAGCGGGGGCGGAGAGAATGATGATATGGTTCATCCAAGCTGCAACCTAGACCCACAAGTCCGATGTTAAATTATCCCTCCATTTCCAGAAACATAATTCAAATCATAAAAGAGGAGATATTAGTCAAGTCCCAAATCCCGATCCCGGTTCCCGACCAAAGAACCTTTTTTGTCCCTTTTAACTGCGTTGCTAAAAGCTACTAATAATTTCCCCGAGTTTTTCTGTTGTATGTACCTCTCTTCTCTCCCATGTAGATACCTGAAGCCCTCACCATCTCACCTCACTGACAGAAAACACACAATCTAACAGAACCACTTCAGTGCTCCAGCGCCCCGGGCGCCCCGGAAACAGACACGGGCGCGCCCGAGACCTGCGAGAGCATGGAGTCGATCTCGCTGATGATGGCCTCGTCGGCGTTGAGGCTCTGGATCATCTCCTCCTGCGTGAAGGCGACCCAGAAGGCCGGGTTGATCTGCTGGGCCTTCTTGGCGCGGTAGATCTCGCGCGCCACGCCGCGGACCTGTCCCGCAGCGTTGTCGGCCGCCTTCCACACGGCCGACAGCTTGGACAGCGCGCCAATGCTGAGCCGGATCTGCTGCCGCAGGTCGTCCTCATCCTGCAGGAAGTACAGCGCCCACTTGGACAGCTGCACGATCGCGCTCATGGTGATGACGCACGTGAAGAAGTGTGTGTGGCTCGTCAGACCCACCGGCGCCGTGATCATCTTGGAGATGTCCGCCGCCGCCGTCACCGTGTGCCGCGTGTGGATGTTGTACGCCTCGCCCGACGGCACCGCCCGGTACGGCGCGCACGAGTTGACGCTGCGCGCTGGGGACGAGTCGAGCTGGGAGTGCGGTTGGTGCAGCATGATGGTGCATCTGAGGAGAGAAACGGTGAGCTTGCATGCCTTGAAATGACCATCGTTTTTCTCAAATAACAGAGAACGAGCTTGAAAGACAGCCGTAGTAGGGGGAATGAACCTACGCTGTCGTGATGAAGTGCCCCTGGAACATCATCTCATCGTGCAGACAATTCTTGTCCACGGGGTCCCTCTTCCCCGGCGGCAGGTGCAGCCTCCAGTTGGTAAGGTGAGCCTCCATCTTGGCGAGGTTCTCATCCTCTGGGAACATTATGGGCCCACAGCGCATGAAGCGCCCGAGGTTCCGGATCGCGGCGACGCGGTACGCGAACGACGAGAACGGGCGGTCCTCGCCCGAGAAGAGCTGGTCGTCAAAGTCTTCCATGTACATGGGCTGCGGTATAGTCTACTCAAGCTGTCAGTCCGGCGGCCTCTCTCGCGGGCTGGAATGAAGATAGAACGTAATCGTGTGTGTGCGAGTGCGTGCATGTCTGCGTATGCGTAATGACTTACCCCCAAGAGAAATTCGGACTCCTCACACGGGAGTGCCACGTCGGCGGTCAGGTCGAAGAGGAGGAAGTTGGTGACCCTGTGCACGCCGGCAACCATGCCGTCGATAACGTAGAGATCCCACCACGTCCTGCGCCAGCTCTCCTCGAGTATTGGGTTGCCGCGGCCGTTCATGGTGGCGAACTGGCGCGTGTTCATGCCTATCTCGACGGCGATTCTCTCGCAGTCAGTTAGAAGGTCCCGCGCCTTGTCCTGCTGGCAGCTGCCGTCGAGTGCGACGATGAGCAGCAGCAGGGTCTGGACGAGGAAGCCATCCTTGGGGGTGCTCGGGGAGTAGCACAGCCGTAGGGCCTCGTCCAGATACGAGGCGCGAGCGGGACCGACGTCCATGAACAGCGAGCCGACGTATCTCATCGCCGCCTGCAGGTGGTCCAGCTTCTGGCCGGTCTCTCGGAGGTGCCGGACGAAGTACTCCCTGGGCAGGACGAAGGGGTGTGAGGCATAGTAATGATAGTAGAACGAGTCGAAGCACTTGTCGGCGATAGTGGTGACCGGTACGATGGGAGCATGTTGCTGGACCGCACTTGATGGGGGTGCCGAAGGGCGTGGTCCTGTAGAGTTGTAGGTGGTTCATAGATGCGGCGGCCGAGAGGAAGGGCGAGCTCGGATCGGAGCCGAGGCCCGCAGACGGCGTGAAGGCGGCGCTGGTCATGGCGGGGGCGGTGGCCCCGAGCAGCATGGGGCAGCTGTCGGGCCCGGCCGCAGAGGAGACATCGGTGCCATCAGGGGACGAGGATGCGTGCCGCTTGTTTGGGTTGTGGGCGGTGCCTCTCCGCGGGCCCTTGTACCCCCGTCGGGAGGCGACATAGACACACTCGGACTGCGATGCCACACAGCGGCTGCAGGGAGTCTGGCCATCACACTTGAGGTGCTTGCTACGCTGTTATTGCGGATACCGCGTGGGTATGTGTCAGCCCTATGAACCCGACCCGACTCGAGGGAAGAGAGCAGCCTCGCCCAGCTGGGACTGGGTGGAGACCCGGCGGGGAGGAGGACAATATACCGCAGACAAGGAGAAAGAAGGGCTCAGCAGAAGAGGAGAAGGGCTGCTCACACATGCCAGGCAGGCAGCGGGCACGGCAGGGCCCGCGGCGGCAGACTGGGAGCCCTGATCGTGGGCGGATGGGGTCACAGTGCCATTGCTACTGCCATTGCCATTTGCACTCCCGCTCCCGCTCCCATGGCCGTGCCCATGGCCATTCGCGTGCCCGGTCCCACTCCCATTGGTGGTGCCCGAGCCGAACAGGTCCGCCGAGTCGAGGTCGCCGACGGTGGGGGCCAGAGCCAACGGAGACTCGCCGCTCAGGCTGGACGAGGGCTGTGGAGCCCCAGGCGGCGGCATGTTGTAGAGGCTCATGGCTGGTGGCCCAATCGAGAGCGAGCACGAACTGGCAGGCCGGCCCTGATCTGGGCTGGGCGGAGCTCGGGGTGAGCTGAGCTGAGCTGAGCTGAGCTGACCACGGCTGGAGGGCGCGAGTCCTGGTTTGTCAAATTGTCGGGCAAGCTTTCGTGTGTCCGGGTCAAATCGTCGGCGGCTGTACGGCAGATCCCCGTTGACAGCTCACCCACAGCAGCGGCAGCGGAGTCGATGGGCCGCTGTTCTACAGCGGTTGAATCCGTGCAGCCAAGACAACGGAAGTCGGGTCTTGCAGAGGAGCTTGTTGTTATCGTGGGCGTTGTTGATGCTGTGTCTTGTCTTGTCTGTCTCTGTCTGTCGTCGGACTCCCCAACAAATGACACAAGAAATTCCCCCCAATGCAGTGCAGACAGACGTAAGCTCGACGTCAAGTCTCGGACTCGGGGGAGGAGGCAACGGATGAATGAATGAACGGGTTGCCCTCAAGGAGGCGCGCGGGCGCGGTGTGTGTGTATGCGTGTGCGCGTATGAGGCAGTTTCGACTGATGCCGGCTCCTGATTGACGGCTCAGAGATGGAAAGAAGCATCATCCTCCCGCGGTGAGGGGCAGGGGGGGGTTGCAGCCCAGGCTCGACTTTTCGTCCTGTGCAACGATAACAAGGGCGCTCCTGCAGCAGCCGTCCTCATTGTTCATTTTCCTTTTTTTCCCCTGGCTCCTTGTGTGACGCTCTCGGCTCGCACTCGACGCGTCGGACTGGCGAGCGATGCCTCGTAGATATCTCAACTTAAAATCGGCGTCTCGGCCAGACGCTTGGGCAATGGGCATCCTTCCCGTTTTTACCACTTCGGCCACTTTTACAGAGCAGGTTATTCAGGGGTTGACCCTGCTCGGCGACTTTCCTCATAGTGCGGCCCAAATACACTTCGTGCAGGCCAATTCGACTTCACCGTAACCACTTCTTCCGTCTTATATCTTCCACCTCTTCTCGCCACCAGTCCCCGATCTAGATCCCATCAAGTCTTTCTGTCTTAACATCCAAGCATATATGTGGCTTGCTCAGGATCAAGAAACTCCCGACACACCGTTGACGCAAGTCCCACCCAAGAAGGCAGGCGCCCACCCGCGGACCCCCCACGTAGTCCCCCGCAGCTTGCCCAGGCACCACAAGGGGGCGGCCGAGAAAAGAAGGAAGACACGAACTCCTCCACCCTCAGCCCCCTTCCACCGAGGGGAAAAGGAAAGAGACGAACTCCTCTCCTCCCCAATCAGCCACTCCATCCCTCCCACTCTCCCACTCTCCCGTAGCACAAGCCTGGCACAGCATCCTGCCTCCGACGGCGCACAGCATCTGCCGCCGGACGAGGCGGTGAACGTCTTTCCCTCTGCCTCTTTCTGCTCTCCCTCACCCTCGCTCTGCCTCTCTCTCTCTCTGTGTGTGTATGCGCGTGTGTCCCGTCCATGGCGTCCCCCTGCTACCGGATATGTCAGTGTGTCTGAGACGGGCATAGCATAGCTGCAGCCGAAGGTCTCTCAACCGGCTGCAGTGGCGGATCGCTCGAGGGATGATGGGGTGTTCGCATGCTTTGTTCCCGGGGTATCATGCATGTATGTCTCGTTGAGGCTGACCGCGATGCGCGATTACGGAGGCTCGTGCTTGGTCCACGGTTGGCACAAGCAAGGCAGGGGTTGACCGTGTGTGTCGAGTGCCGTGATCTGGCGGCCTTACCCTGAAGGGCGCCACGCTGGTTGGAACAGAGGCCGAGTATGTGGAATAGAAGAGCAGAGACGCGGAAAAGTTGGTATCCAAGAAAAGATCTACGGGCCCGTGGACGAGATCAAATGCCGAGGGCAATGTAGTCGGCCCGCGGGAAAGGTACCCGGAGGAAGAATGGTATTTCCAAGACACATCACACGATACAGCCATGGAGCATTTGTTTTTGGGAGGCTTTTGCCTCGACTGATTCCGTCAACTATCCTACATATTATAGACCCAATCTCATCAAATGTGACCCGTGCGTGCCTGATCTTGTCGTATTCCAGCCCAAACATGAGCCTACTATGTCCGGACACACTGGGGTCCCTCGAGATCCTCATCCTTTCCTTTCCCTTCCTTTCCTTGCCTTTTCTTTTTTGTTCTTTTCTTTCATTTTGCCTTCCGTCCAATTCGTACGTCGAGCACCTGGTCTTCAGGCAAGGCATCGTGAGAGGCAGGTCTGATCTGTGCAAAACCCGAGTTAGTCGGTTGTGATCACCACCAGAGGCAGACGAGCAACAGTGAAACTTACCATCTCAAGCGGCGTCCACGTCCTCATCAGTATCGCCCAGAGACTCCTCGTCGTAATCAACCTCAGGCTCCAGCAGGTACTCGGCCCCTCCATCGACATCCTCCTCGGCCTGCTTTTCAGTCTTCTTGAGCATGGACTCGTCGATCGTCTTGAGGGCCTTGATGGATGCGAGGCTGAGGTAGTCGTCGCCCATGAGGCTCTGGACGTCGTCACGCGGGAGGATTGAGAATGCGCGGCTCTCGCCCGGAGCCAGCTGCAGCGTGGTGGCCGTCTCGTCTTCCTCATATCGCGCGAGGAAGTCCTTGGGCTCACACTCGTTGAAGCGCGCTACGGCTTGGCCGTCCGTCGTGATGATCTCCTTTTTCTTTCGCCACTCCAGCGTGTCGACCTCCACAGTTTCGTCCATAAGCATGTGGTAGACGTACACCGTCTTGCTCTGGCGGTACCGCACGCAACGACCCAGCGCCTGCTCCATGTGGTTATCCCAGTCGCTCTGTTTCCGGCTGACGAGGGGAGACACGAAGATGATGTGGTTGGCGTTGTGCAGGTTGCTCCCTGCCGCTTGCTCCGAGTTAATTGTCTGCACAAGCACCTTGAATTCGCCTCTCTTGAACTTTTCGAGGTTGCCGGCCTCGTTGCGCGAGAGCATCAGAGATGTCACATGCTCGATATCTGCTGCAACCAGTTCTTTGTAGATGTCCTTTTCCATCGCCGCATTCTGAACAAATACCACGACTGATTCGGAGGGTTTAATGCGCTCGATGAGATTGATAACAGCGCGAGCCTTTGGCCCCTCGGTGGACTTCTGGTAGGTCGTAGCTGAGTCTAAGTATGGGTCAGGATCCTGAGTGATGGCCCCGGAGAGGCCACTCGCAGCGATGACACGCTCCTTCTTCGTGATCTTTGACAGCGGAATGCATACGTCCTTCACGCGGCGCTGGCAGAGACGAACGCCGCAAAGCCGACCGTCGTCTGGCTTATCACAGAATACGTGACCACAAAGAAGCGAAACGTAGTGTGCGGCGGGCTTCTTGCTGCACTGGGGGTCGGGGCACACCTGAAGGCCATGAAGAGTGTCGGAAACGGCTTGTTGCAGGTTCCGCCTCGCATGAGCGATAATGCTGCGCTCGTGGACACTTGTCTGGTCATCGACAGTTTTCATAAAGTCATCAAAAACGACTTCCATGTTGCCGCCCCGGATCCTCTTCTTGCCTTCCTGAGGGAAATCTGTCAGGCTCACACCGCATGATTCAGGCGAGACATAATCTTTGTCGGTTGCAATCCCCGCCTCGTCTGCAGCCACACGCGCAATCAGAGTTTCCTTCTTGTCGGTGCTCTTCGCAACAAGGCCACGCCGATTGCATTCTTCCTCCAAGAAGACCTTGGTATCCTTGTAGTCGTGGAGCTCCTTCGTGATGGCGGCAATCTGCTCGGGGCTCAAGTTGCTCATCTCGCCAAGCCTGTCCCGACGAGATTTGTCGAGGGCCTTCAAATGCTGGAGGTCAAAGTCATCAGGACTGAGGTGGGCTGATGGTTCACGCAGTTCTGAAATGGGGACAACCATATGTGAACGGCCTTTCGCGGAGGCATGGTAGTGGCTCTCCCAAGGCACCTTCTCCGAACACTCCAGCCTCAAAAGCTCCTCTTCCGCTGCATCGAGATCCGGGACTTTGTCAAATAGAAACCATCGTCTCGAGTGAAGTGGAGTCTTGGTAAGCCAGTCTCGGAAGATCTTAAGGAACTTCTTCTTGGCCTCGAAGTTCGTGCGCACCTTCTCCCTCTTGAGAATATCTTCTTCGGGCCACTTGGGCTGCTCCACGGGCGGTTTGCAGAACAACATGGCATCGAAGACTGATTGCAGAACTTCAGGAAGACCATCCTGGGGGAGACTTCGGAACTTGCTTAGTGCCTCTCGCACATCTTCGTCCCAGATTAACATGCGCATGGCAGACTCGAAAGCATCCCAGCTCTGGTACAGGCTGATATCTACCCGCAGCACTGACTGAACTATGTCAGTCAGCGTCTGGTAGTAGTTCAGCTGTCGGTCTTCCTGCCCATCGACCTCCGCTTTCGTGTTCGAGATGGTGATAAAAGCAAGCCGGAAGCCAAGAAAGAACGCCTTCGCCAGTAACTCGCGGCCGCGGTCCTCCATGCCACAAATTTCTTCCTCCGTGATTCTGAGCAAGGCCTTTGCAGCGTCCTTGTCGGAACATCCGGTCAGGCCAGACTGCTTGAGGACATCGTCTGGGGAAGCAGAAGCACAGATAACGAGTGCCTCTATAGAGCGGTCATGGCCGTTGCCCTTCCCCTTCCAGGCAACGCGGCTCATCAAACGCCGACGGGATTCGGCGCCGACGTTGTTTGCATTGTACTGGCGGCTGCGAAGCTCAAGCTCAAGCTCGGCGTGGGACATGAAAGAAATCGTCGACATGGTCAGCACAATCGGCTTTTCGATCTTGGAGACTTTCATTTCGCGGCCGTTCTTGCGCATGAATAGACGCACAAAGGCCAGGGACTGCTCGTGCCGTTCCACCAACACCCTCGGAGAGTGACGGCTCTGAAACAGACTGGTTGATTCGAGATCGGAGTGGGGTGCCAGCGGCTCGTTCTCGCACACTGGAGGCTGTCTTCCCTTGATCAACTGCAACGGCCTTGCCACATGAACATTGAAAAGGTAAGAAACTTTGCAAATATCTTCCAGTGTGTCCATTGGAGGGGTGCCGGAAAGCATCCACTTCGACATTGTCGCACAGTTGGCCACAAACTCGGTGACTGGAATATTCTCATATGGGAACTCGTCCCAGATGATGCGTGCAAAGCTGCACATCTCAAAAAGCCGCAGGGGATGGTAGTCGTTGTCTGCCTTCCCGCCAGACTTCTTCGGATGGAGCTCGGGGGGAGCGAAACTCAATTCTTCTTTACCATCAAGTTTTCGCTCGTCTTTTCTGATCTGATCCAGTTTGCGTCGAAGAGAGGCCCATTGCTGCCGTGCCAGAGTCTTGTCGTCTTGCTCGACAATCTCCATAACTTCCTTTCGAACTTGCGCGAAAGTTTTATGGAATTGCTTGTACCAAGCGCGGTAGACTTTCTGCATTGTCCGGATCTTGTCGAGACCGTGGGTGCTGCAGTACCTGGACATCTCTGCGTGGTACTTGTTGTCCTGGAAGACCTTGTTGCTACAGATGATAATGTCTGCCTTCTTCAAATCAGCAACCTTATGCTTCTGGAACGCGGCGAAGGTTGGTATCATGACAACGTTGTACTGCTTTGGGTTCAGGAATCGCTTTGCCTCGTTGACCCATTGTTGAGTCAGCTGGTTCGGGACGATTACCAAAGTTGCGTGGAGGTGAACCAGGCCATCAAGAGGCTTGTTGTTTTCTCGCATGTCCAAAAACTGCCCTCGGTCCGTGTCACGTTGAACATCAATGAGCCCGAGACACACAGCGGTTTTGCCAAAGCCCACCTGGTCCGCCACGACTCTACCGCGGCGGTACACAGGTCTGCCGGCATCAGCATGGACACGCAGATGCAGCTTCTCGTGGTAGACCTCGGCTACCTCGGTCTCAACGAATGGTTCTAAATCTTCGAGAGACTCTCGGTGAAGCATCCACTGTAGCGAGTCTGATTGCTCCTTGAACAGTGTCAACCCATCCTGGAAGCCTGAGGGATGCCTTGCGTCTTCCTCTGCAACTGGCTCAGGGGCCGATATTCTGGCTGGCTGAAGGACGACTCGAGGATTTTCAATCACCCCGGATTCCATGGCAAAGGACCCCATAGTGACCGTGCTATCATCGTATTGCGCCGGATGCTGTGGCAGGTAGGCGCGAGCTTGTTGAAGAAGCGCGTGTCCGTGGGCAACGATACGGACGTCAACATAAGGAACTCCGTCTTTCTTCATTCGCCAGCCATCGAATGCTGCCGTGACGTTGTGGTCGATTCGCAGGAGGGCCGGCTTTGCCTGCAGATTCCCTTCGTAGTTTTGCTGGTCCGCGGGCCTGTGGCGAGCGACTACTGGCCCGCTGGCCCGTGAGCCTGTCGCTGCCTTGACGTAGAACACCTCCGGGATCCTGGGTGCGCATCGCGCACAGTCCGACGAAAACGCTATGTTTGATTGAATCACGGAAACTCTGTGGCCGGTGCCTACAAGTCCCATTTCAACAGCGGAGTAGAGGGGGCCGATCAATCTGGTGAGCTCTGCAAGGTCCAGCTGGTGGGTCAGATCGAGAGTCTTGAGCGTCTCTTGCATCTTGATAGTCTCTTCCTCGTTTCCGAGTAATGGCAAGGACGTCGTCATCAGGCTTTGGTACTTGTCGCACAAAAAGTAGTCGGCCTCCTGGCTCAGATCACCAGGTCGTCGAATGCTTGTTGGAGCCCCCTTTGCCAGGGCTCTCACACCCTCGAATTCCATATTGGGAAAAGCTTCGACGTGGATGCCGTGTGTCTCCAATTTCTCCCACCAGCCATCAATGAAGCCTTGGATCGAAAATTCATCTCCTTCCTTGACAAGGAAGGGTTCGTCTTCCACGAGAACCCTCTTGAACTTTTGATGGATCTGGTCGGCTCGACGTATCCGTAGCAGCACTGGACGGGTTTCTGGTTCGGGCGTGCGTCCCATTTCCCGACTGATGGGTGAGATCACAAATACGTCCTCCTCAGCTGGACCAATCGCATCAATGTCCTTGAACAAGAAGAGCTTCTGATCAGGGTTGTTGTTTACCCACAGCGCGTTCTCTGGGAAACCGCACTCAGGATGAAATGTCCAAAAGGTACCTTGTAGCGACTTGATTGAACGCTGGGATAGATCAGGCATGCTTCCAAGGTCGCCAATCTTCTCGAGACAAAGACCGTGCTTGTCTTGTACTCGGAGCTGCATGGGGAATGATACTGTGTGCGAGATCCAGACCTCCCACAATCGCGCGCCAGGAAACTGATCCCGCTCTTCTGGCCCTAGAACTGCCCGGGCGATTGGCTGGCCAGTGGTGAGAACACCAGTGAGATTCTTCCCTGCACGAGAAAATTGGTCAAGGTGGAGGTACCAAATGATCTCTGCTTTCTCGACGACCACTCTGAGAATGAAAGTCGAGTCTGCAGTGTATTCCAGTCGAACAGCATCGGTTATCTCGACGAATTGAAGCTGGTATGTGCTGTTGCAGAGTCCTTCGATGATGGCCTTCGCTAACTCACCCCGCTGGAAGTCGCTGTAAGTCGATGCCATTAGGGCGCGATCCAGCTTTTGCACAAGGGCTTTAGTCTCAGAACGCATCCACAGGACTGGAGGGAAGAATTTCCGGAATTCGTATTCAGCCTGAGCGTATGGTAAGGACCTCAGATCCTCCAGCGACTCTGGGGACTTCATGAGCGCATGCTCTGGATTGCCTTTGCAGCTCTTGCAGAAGCTGCTACCGCACACTGCACATATGTGAAGCTCGATGCTGCTGTATGGGAGGCCGTGCTGGCAAACGCATCGCCGCCGAGCTCGTTGTTGCAGGGCGAGAATGTCTCGGACACCGCCTTGAGTGACCATGTACGCGAACAATTTAATGTAGATGAGCTCTTGCGGGTCATGGGTAATCTTCGCCCCGCCACCGTGGAAAGAATTCTGGATCTTGGCCCTCGGTTTGAAGTCGCCCTTCTCGAACATGTTCTCGAGCCAGTTGAACCCGTGAGCCTGGTCTATACGGGCTACTGCTGAGAGTGCCGCAAGGATTACAGCGCCGACAACTGTGGTCGTCATGGCATTGCCAGCAAGATCTTGCAGTTGAGCTTGTGTCTCAACGCTCATGTCGAAGTTCTCCACGGGAAGTCCCTGCAACCTCAATGATTCAGTGCCAGTAATCGGGCGTGCCTCCAGGGTGAGCACAGGAATGGCATTGGGGGTAAGACAACCAGTCCGACCGAACACGATGTTGGGGGTGATCCTGTCGACGTTTTGGCTGCAGTCAATAATTTGCGCCTTGAACCTGAGGTCGTAGAAACCATGGGCCTTTCCTTGTCCGAATAGCCCGAGGGTGAAGATGCACTCCAGCAAGTCGCTGACGCGGCAAGGCTGCCGGTTTTCCCACGCCTTCCACATATTGGCCGGGGCATTTGACATGGCATTTTCCAGCCAGCGAATCCAATCACGACGGTCTGGAATCTTGTGGTTCCTTCGGAAAGCCGTGTGTCTTGACTTGGAGAAGCTCCAGTTCGACTCCATTTCACGCACTCCCTGCGCGGCGAGCTCCATCTCATTCCGAGCTCTGTGCAATTCAAGGCTATTTGGCGGCAGTATGAAGTCGGTCACCGAGTTGGAATGAGTATGCTTCAGAGAGGGCAAAGTATCTTGGCTGAAGAGCTTGCATAGCATCTGAGCACCCTTCAAGGTAAAGGCCTTGTGGCTGAAAGCGATCATGTACTTTCGAACTCGTGTCTGCGGCATGTGGTAGTTTTTGGTGTCAAGCCTGTGCACTGTAGCTGCATAGCCCATCAGTTGGAGAAAGCCGCAGTCGATAAGCTTTTGCCAGGGAGCGCTGTCGACGTTCTCGAAAATCAGCATCATGGGTTGGCGCCAGAACGCGTAGTTCATCGCAGCGGCAAAGGTCTTGGTCGAGGTGTTCTTCCTCTCCGTTTTCTCGCTCATTGCTTTGATCGCGTCCTGCCAAGAATCATTCGAGACATGTTGACGAGAGAGATTGTCACCATGCTTTTCCTTCAAGGTCGCCCACTCCTCCAATGCGTGTGACAGTCCAGCGTAATCCTTGATCTTTGTGGAATTGAGGGATGAGAAATCAACGCAAGAGGTGCCTGCGATGAAGAGATCGACAGGCGGGATTTTAGCTTTCGCCCCTGTGATCAGGTCCCTATACATTGATTAGCGACTGGCATACACAGGAACATTGCTGTCAATGACTTACGCTGTCTCTGCATAATCCTCAGCAAAGTCTTTGGCATCTTTGAACAACAGCGCCGGCTTGCTGTTACGCATCAAAAAGCCCTGCTTGTAGGGTTCAATCTCACAGGCAAAGCTGTTGATGGTTGTGAAGACTTGATCCCCGTACAAGTTCTTGAGCATCTCGAAAAGGTTCATCACGTGGATAGGTGCATCGGTTCCTGAGCACAATGTTCCGACACGAATGTAGTACTGGCGCCCACTATCCGTGTAGAGGCTCAGGCCAATTTGCGAAGCATCATCAATCAATCTTCCCATGATCTCCCGTAGGCTGCGCAGGGGCTTGTCGTTGGACCGCGGCTCCATATCAGCGGCAGGCTCAGAAGAGTCGCCGCCACCGCCTCCATCTGGAGAGCCAGGGGAACTGTAGTCGGGAGTCTTGTCCGTCGAAGCCTTGTCCTTGGGAGGATTGCTGTGGGGAGAATCAAGCTCGGAAGGTTCACGCTTCGGTGGCTTGCTGCCGGAAGCATCGCTCTGAGTGTTGTTGAACATGCTCGTGATCGTTGTCTGTCTGAGCGACTGTTTTCCAGCGGACCGGCCATTGGCGGTCCTGGGCGCCTTGACAGATTCTAATGCCGACTTGGCGGTGTCTGCCTTACGCTTTCTGGTCGCCTTCTGGCCCTTCCGGGATGTGACAGTACTGGGCGGCATTTGGTAAGACAAGTCAGAGTCATCGTCCCTACTGAGAGGCATTCCACCATCGCCTTGGAATGGGGGTGGCCCAGTCTTCTGTTTGGCACTGCGCGACCTGGTAATGCGAGTACTGGTGGCCCCCGTAGCAACATCATCACGCTGAGCGGTATGTTGTGAGACTGCCAGGGACTGACTGATGTCGTGCTGCTGGACTTATCGTTAGCAATACAGCCGTGAGGCAAGCAGTATAGTTGTGGAGATGTGTACAGTACCTGGTAGTTCACGAAGCCAGCGTTAGGAGCACCCCGACCAAGCTGAGGCGAAGGCTGAGGGCGACGAGAAGTTGATTGACCCGAAGAACCGTTCTCTCCTGGCATGGAACCAGGCGATGTTTGTTGCTGCGGGACTGACTGTCAGTTATGCTCGACAACGAAACGAGTCCACTACAGAGTAGCACTAAAGCCCATAACAAGGGATTTGCTTACCGCGCAGTAGTCACGCTCGTCGCTAGCAACAGGAGCAGCGGAGCCAGGACTTTGAGAAGCGTTTCCCCTATGCCAGATGGGAAGCCTTGGATCGTGAGGATGGGGCGCCATCGTGGGCTCTGGCGCCCAACGAGGCGCGCCAGGATGTCAAGGGTTGGAGTCAGGAGCCCGAGTCTGCAAAGAAGGCAAGAAGTTGACAAAAACGATCAGAGAACGGAGCACGAACGTTGTGCCCAGCTTGAGCAGCGTGAGAGAAGGTGAGTCCCGGGATAGGATGATGCAAAGAAGGGAGACTGCCGGATTTGAGGCAAGGTTGCTGAAAAACAACAACCGGGCTAGGGCAAAGGCAGGTCCAAGCTTGTGGGATGGAGTGAAGATGGACTGACGGGGGTCTACCTCGTCAGTCCAGGAGCTGGCCGCCGGGACGGGGTGTGGATCGTGAAGAATTGCAGATGGAGTATCAGGCTTCAATTCCGGATGCAAGCCCAGCCGCAGGGAGGCTGATGAGGCAAATGAGGACGTCAAAACAAGGAGTAGGTGTGGTCAGGAAGCAGCTGAGTGCAAGAAAGAAGAAAGGCCGGGAAGGTTGTGCAGGTCAAGTTGTGAGTGTCTGGCTTCGGATACCCGAGAAGTAGGGGGTTCTGCAGGGAGGTTGCTGTGGCAGGACCACATCTGCAGTCAGCCAGCGGGTTGATACAATACAGCAGCTCGCAGCAGCTCGCAGCTCACAGCTCACAGCTCACAGCTCGGGTTTGACTTGATGGGCCCACAGAAGTGTGAGAGCCCTGTGCGAGGAAGTTTGCCCCATTCAATGATGCCGCGGCGACATCATGGGCGCCGGCATTATGGGCGCCTGGCGCATTAGATGGTGAAACGACAGACCCGATTCCCACTACACTAAGTACCAGACGCATCCACTTCGGCTTGCTTCCAAGGGGCTGCTTAGAGCATCATCCTCCAGGACGAGGCCGAATTGGTATCTGGTGTCCCCCATAGGTACCATCGCACATGAGAAGGAAGGAAAATCCCGAATCCAGAGGCTTTCATGCTGGAGATGCGGGAGACCTTTGTATCTAACTCGGAGACACATGGCCAAGGTAAGACTGATGTTTGAAACACTCCAGTGGTGAGATCTCAAAGGGCTTCCTTCAGTATGTAAAGAAGTCCCGAGATAGGATCAATGGGACCTCGCCTTTGTCTTGAGCCTCGACAGTTGGTGCCACACAACAGTGGACAGTTCCTGCCTGACAATGGCCGGCGGCATGGACGGTGTGTTCTGGTCTAAATTTCCATGGTTTTTATGGGCTCTCGTCTCGAATTTGCGCATCAAATTCCAACAGGACAGCAAGACATGGAAGCCACCGGGTCGAAAGCGGCCGTCATTACCGGTGAGCAGCCCATCCCAAGTGTAGGAGTTGTCGACGTCCGTCTGGAGCTACTTGTTGGACAGTTTCCATGCTGACACTGATGTAGAAACAGCCAGGCCGAGGGTAAGCCGAAGGCGGATGCTTGGATGGAATAACAAGACACATCCATCAGTACCCAGCCAGTGTGTGCCACAGGCCCATTACCGACGTAGTGTGGACCTCTTTCATGAGGACAGCCGAGTGCTGCCGTTTAAGCACGCTGCTCTTCCATGACTTTTGTCACACTGATCACTGTGTCAGCCGAAAGGCGATGGTGTGGATCTGTAAAGATGTGAGTTAAGATGTTCAAGTCAAAGCTCGGCACATGGATAACTTAGACTATGATGATACCTCCAGATCGAACCGTAACCTCCTCTGATGAGCCATCTTTTCGGCTAAACACTTCAAACTTGAGTTGAAGAGATACACAGGCATCTTGAGGTCTGAACAACAACTCTGTGTCTCGAAACTGAGCCTTTCTCTTGCCATGGCTGATGTTAGGACATACAGGCTTGCCCGGGTGGCTTGGGTGGACTGTTGTGGGTGACGGTCCCGTGCCACCAAGCAGGCAAGAGCTGACTGCTGTATCACGACCACCCATCAGCCACACATCTAGAGATTGGTGAGATCTGAGCCACCGAGTCGTGGCTCGCAGGTCAGATGCCTTGGATTTAGCATCCTGTCTGGACGCAAAAGTCAGGGCCAGACCAAAGTCTAAGCCGAGTGTTATGCTCAAGCAGGCAAGGAGGACGATGCCAGCACCTTGGTGATTACATGAACTCGTACACCCGGGGAGGGAGAGTGGAAGGTTGTGTGGGGGGCGCGGTGAGAGTGAGTGGTGAGGAGGGAACAGTTGTCGTCCAAGTAGACCAGAGGTTTAGCCGAGAGGGCTGTTCAACGGTACAGTCCCAGGGTTGAGTAGTTCCGGGGTTGGCAGGAACGAAGTTGGAGAACCCGGAACAGGAACAGTCCTCAAGACACCGGGTGTTGAGCTGGCCCCCCGGGCCCTCTAGCCTGGTACCTACACCTACCGACCCCTGGCACATGGCACAACGGACTGCTTCCATCCCTTGGACATATCCGCTGGCTGTGGCAGGATTCAGTGTAGACGTCGTGGAAGAAAGACGGAACGTTTTTGACGATGTGTGCTTATTATCAAGCCAGCCAAGATCAATGCCAGTCCGACCATGGAACACGTAGATCGATCATGAAGCAGAAAGCAAGAAAAAGGCGGACGAGTCACCGGATTGCCATTTTGTGACGAGTGAGAAGGCTGCCGGTACCGAGAGCCTGCCTCCATACCTCTACTCTGGATGTAGACAACACCGACTGGGTGTGTAGAAGCAGGTAGGATGCATGTCCGTAGTCAAGTTCAGTTCAGGGGCAAGCTGTATCGGACCGTTGAACCTGCATGGCCAACTGAATTGGATTGTACAGGGGCCTGTTCCCACAAGAGCATGAGGAGCTCAACAGAAGAGACCATGCAGCATCAAGATGATGACCAAGAGCAGCAGCCGTCAGTCTGGGTTCGAGTTGGTTGCATGTACTCATGATACTGATCATTCTTCATTCCAAAATACCGCAACTTGTGTGTACTCTAAATTGTCCGCATCTTTGCATGTAAACTCCCAAGAGCTGTTAGGAACTCTTGCCCACCCCGGCGTCTAGAGCAAGCTGGCAGGCTGGCTGCACATGCCTCTGCACTAACATCAATGCACAGCAGCTCACGTGTTGACGTGTTAGTCACGGCCACTACGGTCCCGCCGTCTGGGAGCAGCTTGATGCAACCGCGCTGCCTCGACGCGATTCCACAACTCGCGGCCCGCGTCCTGCACGGAACCTTCGTCTGGCCTGGACGATGTAAGCATGGCCACAACCACCTCCACCCTCTCCGAATTGACGCGGACGCCGACACCACCTCCAAATGGGTCCAATTACCTCACGGCGAGCGAGGGCACGTCCGGTAGCGCCAGCGTGACCGAGCCTAGCAGTCCGGCCGGCGACTCCAGGGATGACCTGCGCCACCACAAGGCTGTCTATCGCGATGCCCTCGGCCTGCCGCGTGAGCTCAGGCTGCGCTGCCATATCCACCTCGAGGAGCAATACTGTGAGCTTAGCCAATAAAGTCTGGGCCCCGTTGTGACGATGCGTGCTAAGCAAGACGTGAAGACATTGCCGCCCTGAACCTGTTGAGCAGCCTGCTCTGCGACGGCATCCCGCCCGCCCATGCGCCCACCAAACCAGGCTGCGTCGCGCCCCCGGCCCAGATGGCGGTGCTGGCCACCCTTGCGATCCACCCCAAGCACACCTCCAAGCTGGCAGACTCGGCCCCCCATGACGTGTCGTCCTTGGCCATGTCGTACCTGCGCACCGTCCTGGCCACCGTCGGCCCCGTGAACGCCAACCTACGCGACGCCTTCCTCTTCCGCGGCGAAACAGGCCGGCGGCGGCACAGCTCCGAGAACTCCGGGCTGAGTGGCATGGACAGCGACGAGGACCACGTACGCGGCAAGACGGCGAACAAGGGCAGCGTTTGGGCGCGGGGCCAGGACTTCTGGAAGGTGCTCGGCTGGGCCTTCAACTGCAGCGCACAGCACCCTCACCGATGGCGGTGGTGGCAGCCGTGGCTCGAATACATGGTGGACGTGCTGGAGGCGGACTATGAGGAGAGGAAACGTCTTGATGTCGAGCGCGAGGGGTCCCAGGAGTCGTACGAGTATCAACTGCTCCAGGAGTCACTATTGGTGTCGTACATCATGCCAAAGAACAGCCGCGTCAGCCCCCTGAAGCCAATAATCAGCGCCCTGTTTGCGGACGGCAACACATCATCACAAGCCATCTTCAAGGAGGTGTTCACGCGAGAGAACAAGGTTGCATCCAAGAGCAGCAAGAAAAGGAAACGCGATCGGGTCGACCTGGAGAACGACAAGTTCGGCGACTACGATGACGACTCGTCCACCGGAGGCTCGGAGCCATCAACTCCAGAGCATCTCCGAATGCTGGCAATGGACGTCAAGAACGACACAGCATTGTGGACGGGTACCTCATTGTTGGAGACCATCCCACTTCGACTCCGTCTTTTTACCCTCGTACGTGGCCCACAGAACAAGAGCCCCTTCCCCATCCCTCGCCTTTCTCACTGACAGTGAATGTAGTTATCCGAGGCCGCGTACGACATGCCCGGGAAGTGCATGATCAGCCTGCCAGACCTCTACGAGAAGTCCACAGAGCGGATCGCGCAGCTGCCTGTGGCGGCGTTTGCCAAGTTCCTGTCGCAGCACGACACGCCGCTCGCGCAGGGCAGCCTGGTGGCCATCATCCGCTGCCTGATGCCGTACCTGCTCCCCGGCACGGCGCCTCGGCCCGGCGACGTCGACGCCGAGGTGGACGAGCGCGAGGACATCTCGGCGCGCATCCTGGAGCGGTGCTACCTGCCCTTCGCCTACCGCACGGCCGAGAACAACGCCAAGATCTCGCTGGCCCTCGAGTCCATGCTGCGCCTCGACTTCTGCTCGTGGTCGCCGGGCTTGCAGCGCGCCGTGGAGAAGGGCGTTACCGCGCGCAACGACAAGGCCGCGCCCAGGAAGGGCGGCCGCATGAAGAGCGACGGCGAGCTGGCTGCGCGTGAGATGCTGCTGGCCTCCGGGAAGAGGCTCCTGGCGTGGGCTGATATGTTGAAGATGGAGTATGAACAGGAACCGGAGACGTAGAGTTCGGGCAGCGCATCTCGCTACCGATCATTTCTAGAGCTTATTGTGTTGATGCCAAGGTTTGGGGCCGGGCATTTGATTTTGCAAGGCAGCTAGGGAGTAACGGGTCTTTGTCACGGGTTGTCACACTTGGGAGACTGCACCGACAGCAGCTTGGCGTTCAAGGTGGCCTTTGGTAGAGGCAAAATACTTGTCATAGTCGGAGTTGTGGTGTTTCAAAACAACTTAGAAGTGACGAGAATAACGACGACCAAAAGGTACAATGGCCACCATCAATCAGATCATGGAGATGTCTTTTACATTGATATTACACGCCACCACTTTTCTATCGTTTTGAAGCTGGAGGTGACCAAGCTTGCGGCTGCCAGTCCTCACTCGGCCCGCCACGTCTGCTCTGTGCCCATGGGTCCTTCTTCTGAGCATCCTTCGCCGCAGCAGCCTGTTGCTCCGACCCAGACGCGACCGCATCCCTCCGCGTCCCCTCCTCAGGCAAAGCACTCTCCTTCTCTGCTCCTCCCCTCGCTACCCGGCGGCTCCCCAAAGCAGGCACAGGCTGGCCCGCGCCGACCTGCCCCGCCGCCCCGCCGTCGTGCTCAAGCAGGCTCGGCTTCGCGGCCCAGCGGGCGTCGGCCTCGGCGGCGAGCAGCCTCATCTGGTGCTGGCGGCGGACCTCGGCGTGCTGCTCGGGGATAGAGGGCGGCGCGTCGCGCGCCGCAGCCACTGGTGCCACTGGGGCGGGACCTTGACCTCGCTGTAGTGCGTGTCGCGCGGGTACTGCACGATGCGGCGCCAGCGCGTGCGCGGGTCGGAGGGGTCGCCGCGCACGTCGCGGAACTCCCAGTATGTGTTCCCCTGGAGGTCCAGGCCTGTGGATTTGGGTGGGGAAGGTTAGTTACGTGATTACTTGAATACTCGGGGTGAGGATGAGGAATCAGGCAGTCATGGCATGTCAAAAACACTGCAGCCTGATGGGCTGGGCGGTTGGTTGGCTTGGGGCTTGGCTTGAGATGAGTCGAGCTCTGAGGTGAGTCTGGTGGGGTCAGTCTCACTCACCAGCAAGGAAGCGTTTGCGCCATGGCAGGCGCAAGGCCTTCCACTTATACCATGTTTGCAACAGAGGTGAGATCTGTTTCGAGGACATGGCACCTGCGATCGGGTGTGGAGTGCCGAGGCAGTGTGGCAGGGCGGCAGGGTGGTAACGTATGGGCGCAAACTGCGAAAATATTCATTTGTTGTTTTTGTCGATGGGCGCTGCTTGATGATGATGCGTCATGGGCCTGCCGGCTGTCAGTGACATGCCTGCAACGCGCCGCCCGCGTCAAGTACCAGCGGCGCCAATAAGACCCCTGTGTGGTGGGTCCTTCCCTGTTCCGCCGCCTTGTCGGGCACCGACCAGCCATCCGCCCGTGGGCGTGCATCCCTGGACCACTGGACCCAAACCGGCTTGCGACTTGTTGTTGCACGCTGCACGCCTGCAGGTGGCAGGGAAGGGGGTCGCCGGAGGGGGGGAAACCACGGCTGCGCGCTGCCCCTCCTCGAACTCCATGATTATGCTGTGCTGTACATACACCGGCACTATTGGGGCCTATAGTACGGTCCACTACCAAATATCCTGCACTGCATTGTGCCTGGTTGGCACTAGGAAATCTGGATTAATGCTGTATCATCTCCCATGGATTGCTCGCAATTTCCATATCCACAGAGTAATCTCGCTCTCTCCCGTATCGCGTGGCTACAACCGCCTTCTCGCCATCAGATCCGTCTTCAAAAGCAGAAGAATCAACCCTGGCTAACAGTCCAGTACTCCTGCAGCACTCCTGGCACTTCAGCTCCCGTCGTGCATCCGACTCTCCATCCTCCGAAACAACTCCCCGCGGCCAATAGACGTGCCAGACGTCAAGTCGCCTTCACTGACGTAAGCCTGCGTGAACCGCCCGACGCCAACCGCCACTCACACATCGATTCCTGTTTCCTGTGGAGTGAACGACAAGAAGAAGCAACTCCGAGTCCCAGGACTGCCGCGGCGCAACTCGGAATCGGATCCCACGGCAGACAACCACCCGCGCATCACCATGTCCTTGGATCGAGACTTGAAGCGACTCCGACTGGAGAAGTTCACCCCGGCCGCTGCGAATGAGGCGCGCGAGTGGATCGAGGGCATACTCGGCCAGCGCCTGTCGGGCGACCTGCTTGAGTCGCTGAAGGATGGCGTCGCTCTTTGCAAGTAGGTTCCCACAGACGACACGCAAGAAACCTCTCGTGGCCCCCCAGCGGACTAACAAACTGGTGATATTACAGACTCGTCAACCTCGTCCTGCCTCCCCCAGGCGTCAAGTTCAAGGCCTCCGCAATGCCCTTCGTCCAAATGGAGAACATCTCCCATTTCCTCCGCGCCTGCAAAGGCCCTCCGCTCAACCTGCAAGAACACGACGTGTTCCTCACGGTCGACCTGTACGAGGCGAAGGATCCTGCACAAGTACTACAATGTATCGGCGCCTTCAGTCGGGCAGCGAACAAGGCAAATCCGGCTTCCTTCCCTACAGCCATCGGGCCCCGTGCCGCAGGACTGAGCCCGCAGAGGACGGGTGCGGGAGGGACATTATCACCAACACCTACTCCAGGAGCGCGGCCGCGCGGCATGTCAAACTCCAGCAATGCATCCTCTGCCTACGGCAGCCGACCGCCGCTGATCGCGTCCAAGACTGGGGACTCTACGTCTGGGCGCTGGTCTCCTGCCAAGAGCCCAACAGCGAATGGGCCTAAGTCGCCCTCCGTGTCGAGCTGGAGCAGCAAGGCCAACGAGGGTGCGACCTCGCCCGCATGGAATATCGCGCAGTACGGATACATGGGCGGCGCGAGCCAGGCCAACCTCGGAATTTCCTTTGGTGGACGTCGGCAGATCACTAGCGCTGGTCCGTCCGTGCCTAGCTTGGCGGAGAAGGAGAAACGGCGAAAGGCTAAGGAGGCTGAAGAGCAAAAGCAGCGTGAAGAAGAAGAGGCGCGGCGCCAGGCAGAGCTCGAGGCTGAGGAGGAGCGCGCGAAGCAAGAAGAGGCGCGGCGGTGGGAAGAGGAAACCAGGCGCCAGCGTGAGGCGGAACAACGCAGGGCGGCCGAGGAGAAGCGCCGCTGGGAAGAGGAAGAGCGACAGTGGAAGATCACGGAGGAGAAGCGCCGCAAGGACGAGGAAGAAGCCGAGAAGCGCCTGGCCCAGGAGCGAGCCAAGGCCAGGAGGAAGTCGGGCGACTCTCGTCTACACGGCCAGTTCCTCAGCCAATACCAGGCCGAGCAGGCCGGTGGTGGCGAGGAGGTCTACAGCAGCCGAATCAAGGAGCTCGAGAAGGAGCTGGAGCTCGCGCGCGAACGAGAGGCTCAGTATGAGCGCGAACGCCAGGATAGGCTACGACTCAAGAGCGGCGATGCTAAGTCCAGGGCACGCTCTCGCAGCCGGCCCCGCCCAGCATCCGGGGAGCCAAGCCGGCAGGATTCGTGGGCACATGGCGACGAGCGCGCGGCCCTGTCGCCGGCACGGAACGAATACACCCTGCCGGGTTCCCCACTGGCACAGCGACCTGCACCCCCGCCACGACAACAATCACGACCACTCCCCGACCCCACACTGGCAGCGACGCCACCGCCAGCAGCAATGGTCAAGACACACCGCACTGGCGAGTCGGCCAGGTCAGGCGGCACCAGGTCCCGCGCCAACACCGCCGGCTCCCGGCCGCTACCAGACCCAAAGGCCTACTCGTCCCCCGTTACGACGCCCTCGCCACAGATGAACCGCACCGACCGGTACCTCGCCTCCAACCCGCTGCCGCCCAACGCGCCGGCGCAGCAGCTGACGTACTCGCGTGAGCTCGGTGCCACGGAGGAGCGCGACGCCGAGGACCGGCGGCGCGCACAGGCGCAGCGGGCCACCAAGGCCGGGGGCCTGGCGTCCAAGTCGCTGCTGGAGCGCGAGATGGAGCTGGAGCGGCAGCGGCAGCGCGAGTGGGAGGAGTCGCAGAAGCAGACGGCCAAGGCGCCGCGGTCGGGCGACGGCGTCGAGGGCATCGGCGGCGGCGTCGGCGGCAGGTGGGACGTCAGCCAGTTCGCGGGCTACACGGGCGGCGACAACCTCAACCGCGGCACCCAGGGCATCGGGGCCGGGCGCAGGCAGATCGGGGGGCCTAGGCCGCTGCCCGGGACGCCTGGGTCTACTCGTTAACTTGGGGGAGGCTGTGTTGCGCACATGCGCTCGTCTTGGTCATTATGGTGTGGTCCGGTGCGGTGGTGGGCTTTGTGCTTTTTTCGTGGGTGGTACAGTACACACTGGTTGAAGGGGCTAATTACTTTGCCCCGCTTGGGCAGCCCTCGTACGGCGCTGATATACCCCATTCTGCTATCTACACTGGTTTTCGGAGGACAAAATCTGCCTTGTGTTGTGCCTTGTTGTTACTTGCTTGCTTGGAACGCTTGCTTTAATTCCCCCCCTTGTCGTGTCGTGTTGGGCTCGGTCTGTTTGGGTCAGCGGTGGGCCCTGAGATGGATGGAGCTGGAGAGCGAATACCCTACGTAGCACGCAAACTGAATGGATTGGTTTACAAAGTCGCTGGGTTTTGAAGTCAGTGACAAAATGGTTTCCTAATGGAGTCCAGGCTTGACATACCGACAAGATCGACAGCACGCCTCACTCTGAGAAACGCGGTGCCGTGAGACGGCATCAGGCTCTGATGATGCAGCTGGTTGGGCTCCTCTGTCAGCCTGGCGAATGCTGCACTACCCCAGCCAGCTCTTTCCCATTGTCTGCAGGACAGCAGCAAATGGCGTAGTTGAGGACGTTCTTGCTCGAATATGAGTTTACGCATCAGCACCGCCACCGTCCCCGCCTCCCATTGAGGCCTGCCGTGTTTCCTTCAAGGTCCTCGGTTCTGCCGCGTTGACGGTTGTGTATTCCCTTCGGCGCATCTCGAAAGGCAATCCACCACTCGACCTGCTCGAATCAAGAAAATCATCTGAATATTCACGGACGTCTAATTCAAAGGTGTTGGAAATTGAAAAGGATCTTGGAGATGCATTTACTGAAAAGCTGACCGATTGATCGGTGCTCAACCACATCTGTCGTGCAGGTGTAGGCACATGCGACTACTTCACCCGCCCTGCAGGCTATCCTGCATAGCTGCAGCTGCCTTTCCCTAGTCTATGATCATCGAGCACACCCCCATTCACTCAATATTGTTCGCTTGAGTTCGACCAAGATGGTGTGCTGACGTGTCTTGTGAGACTCTGCCAGGCTGCTCCTAATGCAATGCATCAAGTGGGCTGCCTCTCATTCTTGTTTTGATTCTTTGCAACCTACCATCTAAGAGGTTCTGCGTTGTTCGTTTGACAAATTCCAACACTCCCTTTTCCACATTCCATCGACGCTCACCGTGGGACCACCTGACTTACGATCAGCACACATCTCCTTTGATCCGCACTGGGAGGCTGCACGCCAAACAGCTAAGATACTTTACTGGCCCCGGCTGTACTCAACTGAGACCAAGGCACTCAAGGACCAATGTACTCACGCCTCCTTCTCCCCTAGAACCTACCCTGTCCAAGAACATGGATCCTCTGTCAGTGACTTCTGGAATCGTCGGGATCGTAGCCTTCGCACTTCAGTTGGCCAAGACGGCCGGAAAAGTAAAGAAAGCCGTGGAAGAGGTAAAATCAGCTCCTAAAGAAGCCAGAGACCTTGTTGAAAGGCTGGTGATGTTGGAAACCACATGTCAGCTCATTGGCTTTCACCTCGAACGGAGACAGAACCTGCTAGACCACTCATCGCCGGTTTCCTTGGATAGTATGTCGAAAGCTTTAGCCCAGTGTCTAGACAGGATACAGCAACTCGAGCAAATCCTTTCGACCGTGACTTCGAGCGAAACACTGGCCCGGACGCCACGGTCCAAGTTCGACACTGTCTCTCGTCTCCGACTTGTGCTTCGCAAAGACAAAATCAGCTCCCTGGTCCAGGAAATCGACCATGTTATTTTGCTCCTACAGTTTGTGATACAGGTGGATATGTGGTGGGTTTAAATGCCAGAAGCTGACACAAACACAAAAGTCTAATTTCCTGCTTTAGGACAATGGCATCAATTCCGCTACAGCCAACTTCACCTTCCAGCAATGGGATTCAACTGACGAATGAAGCGCGTGAATCAGAGAGAACTTCGAACACGAGGCTGGTAAACTCTTCATGTTGGCAGTCAAATGTGGCTCGATTAATTCGGCGACCTACAAATCAGCAGTGTCGCACTTTTCGATACCTGGGTTACATCACCTGGACTATCACTGATGGTTTGACCGGGGATGAGAACGACAATGCCAACCACATGAGATATAGAAAAGGATGCATCACCTTTCGACTGCCATTTACTTCAACCCAGCTCAGCTTGCACTACTATGGTGGCATGGGGACTCCATCATATGCACTCAATGTGACCCATATCATTCCACAGGACTCAGTTCTGGGATCGCGGATCTGGAACCTCATGGGGACTAGAGCTGACCCACAAGAGCTCCATGAACTGGTCTCGCGCCGAGAGCTATCAGTATACAGCATATACCGGTTACATGATCAGGAATACAGTCTGTTTTTTGTACGTATTATGCGGTGGCCTATTTGGTTCGCGCTCCATGGATGCTAACTACACCTAGCTGGCAGTAGCCTCGAGATGGGCAGAAGGATGCAAATATCTACTGCAACATGACTTTCGCCAGAAAATTGAGGAAGAGTACGCCCAATGTTCACTCTTACGGACTAAAGTTTTATGATACTAATAATCATTGTCGCAGTGAGACTCCCCATTGCTGGTTTTGGAGGAGGGATGACCTTTCTGGCAAGGCTTGCGAAGTTACAGAAACACTGCTATCTGTGAGACCGCACGATATGCGGGTAAAGGATATTAAGTATCTTCTGGATAGTGCATTTGGCCCAGAATACTTCAGTCGATACTTGAAGGTATTTCTGAAGTCTTCCGGGAATTATCATGCCGATATCCTCTCCTACGCCTGGAGGCGGATGATTTTCATCATCTCCCTTCCTGCGGGGCCATACGACAGTTTGTCCAGCTGGTTGCCAGTTCTTCGCTGCCTAATCGAACATGGTGTCGATATACACCAGCCATTTTATCCAGGCTACAGTTCAGCGTATGTGGTGCTTCTGGAATCAGCGATTCATCCTTTTGAAGCTGATGCAAGAGCGTATCATTGGTTGGAAACGCTCAAAGCTTGTGGAGTTGACCTCCATAGCTATATTGAGGCTGAGATCACCCTCATCGGAAAGTCCGGACTAGCACATTATTACCGGCTTGAGAGGCCAAGGAAAATGGTCATGCTTGATTTTGAGGATCTAACGATGCTTTCCTGGCGATGGGAACTAGTTACGGAAAGCAAAATCGTTGAGGTATTGGAAGAGTTCCACAATCTTGGCTCTGACGGTATGGAAGACTACGCAGATAATCACTGGTTCTTTCCCTCGGGCCCTGACGACTTCAAGTACTGGATGGAAGAGGATAACTTCCTGTGGAACCAATGGTTCCCGTTTTTACTATCTCCAATCGACTGTATCGAGGGAGTGGACGACAACAAGTTGGACCGACCATGGTGCCGGGTGACATACAATCGTGCAGTTGAAATCAAGAGCAAACGCTTTGCACGGCGTCAAGCCAAGAAATGGAGGAAAACGCATCCGGGAGTGAACCCACCGTCGAAGACAATGCCGGGCAGCTGGGTGGACTGATAATTTTGCATTCTCATCGACACATTTACGGCTTTTGAAAATACATCAGTTGCCGTTTCGATGCGATTATTCAACCGGAGGTTCGCGTGCCTAGGTCCCTGTGAGCGTCCACTGTTCCTGCCAAGAGATGTCGCTGTTCTGCGACTCTGTCACGCAATCTTCGAATTATCAGTCCTCACATGCAAGATTCGTCGCCAACTTAGACATAACTGGGGCTCCATTCCAGTTTGGTCTGGATTTTGTGGGGTGCCAAGATCAACTAAGGATTTCAACGACATAAAAGATGCCGGCCTTTCAAGCTGACAATAGGAAGTTGTATCCGCGATGGGGGTCGGTCGTATATAATAACTTGCTTATGGCTACACAGGACATGAATCGGGCTGATCTTGTCCCTACACGTCCCTGTTTCTCCTCACACGACCTGTCAAACAGTCATCATGGGCGCCCAAAATACAGGAGTTGACGTCTCCGAGATGGGCACAGGACCAAATGGCTCCGTTCCGCCCTTGTCCGACCTGGAGCAAGGAGCACCGAATGAGGGTGCAGTCAAGTACATTGCCAAAGTCATCCCGTACTTCAGGAACCGCAGAAATGTGCTCATATTCAAGTTGGACTGCCTCCTGCTGCTCTGGATGTTCGTGGCCGGCCTCATGAAAGAGATGGACCAGTCAGCAACAACCCAAGCCTACGTCTCCGGGATGCGGGAGTCTCTTGGACTCTACGGGAACGAGCTTGTCATGTTCACCACATTTTTCTCGATCGGCTATGCGCTTGGCCTTGTCCCTGGGCAGTTGATCCAGACCAGGGTAAGTGCATGCGTGCCGTTCCGCCGGGATTTAGGGCGTCTCTTGGATGAGGACTAACTGAGAATGCACAAGTTCCGGCCATCGATATTCCTCCCGTTGTGCGAAATCACCTGGGGCCTCCTCGTCCTCTTCACATACAAGGCTCCCAACGCCCAGACGGTATACGGTCTCCGTTTCTTCCTGGGCCTCTTCTCGTCCGCTTTTTGGCCGAGTGTGGTGTCCCTCATCTTCAACTGGTATACTCCGACGGAGCTCGCGCTCCGCCTCGCATTTTTCAATGTCTCCGACGTCGCTGGAGCCATGTTCCTCGGCGCACTGCAGGCCACTCTGTATACTAATATGAATGGTGTCCATGGCTTGGCAGGATGGCAATGGCTCTTCATTATTGCCGGCGCCATCACCGTCGGCCAGGGCTTGCTCGGCTTCTTGACGATCCCTGATTCCCCAGCCAACACCCGAGCCATCTGGCTCACCCCAGCGGAGAAACGCCTGGCCCAGCTGCGCATGGGCGAGTCCGGCATCAACACCACAGTGCGCATACCGGCCTCGGTGCTGAATAAGAAGCTGCGGCACATAATCGTCCACCCGATCACGTACTTCTTCCTCCTCGCCTTCGCCCTCACGGCCTGGTCGCACCGCGCCAACTCGTACTTTGTGCTTTACCTCGAGAGCCTCGGCTACGACACCTACCACGTCAACGTCATCCCGCTCGGCGGCTACGCGCTGCAGATCGTCACGAACCTCATCTTCAACTCCCTCTCGGACTGGAAGCACTGGCGCTGGCAGATCAGCATCGGGTCCGCGTGCGCCCTGGGCGTTTGCCTGATCGTGCTGTGCGCCTGGCCCCCTAACAGCACGGCCATCCTGACCTTCTACTTCCTCACGTATGCGACTAACGCCGGCGCGCCGAGTCTGATGGCGTGGATGGGCGAGATTCTGCGAAAGGAGCCAGAGGCGCGGTCTATCATTGTGGCTATCACGGTGACGATCGTGTATGTCGGCCATGCGACCATCCCGTTGCGGGCGTGGCGGGTGGCCGACTCGCCGAGGTATCCGGTGGGCTTCCCGCTCGTCACGGCGTTCACGGCAGCTTCGATTTGTGTGCAGCTGGGGATGTTGTGGTGGGATCGGCGACATCCTGATGTTGCTGATCGCGGCTTTGAGAAATATTCCAGTAGGGAAGTGGAAGCTTCGGTCGATGCGGAAAAGCCTCCTCATAGAGAGGAATCCGCGTAAAGTCTATAGGAACCTCGACCAGCTCTAGAAGTAATTGCTTCTACAGTCTCCGGTCAATACGACATTGTCAGATACGGCTATACGTGAATGACACCCTGGAACCTTGAAAGATAAATACCTAGGTATCTCCTATGGATTCAGAATTCTGCATGGTGGAATTATAGATGCACATAAATTCCGATGTCGAACTGTAACCTTTACCCCGTTCAGTGCAAAAAATGTAAATTTTCTATTGTATATGTAAGGGTTGAAGTCTGTGTTTGATGAGGTGCACAGGAATCAACACGTTCCTCAGTGATTGGGCAGGCCACGTTATTCGCATATCCTGGCACGAATCATTAGTTGATCTACGCCATTATGGTTGAGTTCTAAGTAGAATCTGGAGCCCTTCACCCCGCCTTCATGATCGAGGATGTCTACGAGGTTGATACTTACCTTCTAGTCTAGCCGATTCATAAAAGACTGACATGTTGAGGCCAAAATGGTGTAATGGAAAAAGAATTGAAATTATCAAAAATATTTTCATAATGGAGCAACTATAAAAGTCAACTTTGAAAGTTGTCACCGAAGGCTGCTTTGTGCTGCCTCATCAAAACACCCAAGACTACCCGATGGAAGACCACTCCATTGCAGCACAGTGTGTTGAACACTTGCTCACCTCTTATCTAAACCCCTCGCCCAATCTGTTCAGTGCCCTAATTCGGCAATTGGGGATGACTGTATGTTCGTTGAGTCCGGTCCTCCCGGCTTAGTCGTGTCCCCTGCAAGAAGGCCAACTAGCAGACGAATTTCCAGGAACCTCCCGTCCCCGCAAAGTTCTGACACCCCCTGGCAGCGGAGGCAACCCTCCTCTGGACATTGCTGCAAGTCCTGTCGGTGTAGAAGATGAGGCTACAGGCCGAGTCCAGTGTATAGCCGATCGAGGAGCCCGTCTGCGTGTTGCAGTAGACCGGGGTGGATCCAGTGAAGTACGAGTTGACTTGGCCGGTGCAGCCACTGCTGTAGTAGACACTGACCGAGCCTGCGTCGGCGACTGCGGCGGCGAGGGCCAAGACTGTTGTGAAGAGGCGGGCGACCATGGTGAACAAGAGATTGAGGGCTAGCCACGTAAAGTTGAGTATATCAGCGAGGCAGTGCGGTCATTAGACGTAGTTTTCTGTCTTTCAAAAGTTCTGAGAAAGGTTGATGATCTAGCACGATTGTTGATGACCGGGAAATGACAATGGCCGAGAAAGGAGAGTCACAACCCTTTTAAACACATGGTGCTTGATTTCCTTTCCCAGACTACTGGATTTACGGACCAGACATTCCCAGTTCCACGCCACGCCTGACCAACAGAACTCCGCTGGCTTGCCGCTGGTGGCGTCTCACGATAATGTTTACTGAATAAAGCTGCTTGAGATTTGATAGAAGAAGCAACAACATTTTCCCGCCATCCTTGCTTGGAATTGTACGGAAGCCGGTCTACACAAGCGATGGTCACCAGCGTGATGCCAGTTGCTGGGCTCGGTGGCGTACGCCGGAATTCGGCACTCGGTGTCCTGGTCCAGGACAATCCTTCACTTTCACCGGTGTGATGAACTGGGCCCATTTTTTGCATCATGAGGTCCAAATTGTCCAGTTCTGGCAAACCATACATGGGCGACCCATGGCCTGGGTAGACGAGAACGCCTCACCGAGTGGGACGTAGTCAAGTGACCTTAATCCCTGTACCTTACTTAACATTTAAATATAATATTTAAATGTTAACTAACCTTGTTTTATATTTAAATGTTAACTAACCTTATTTTATATTTAAATATTAAAAAAAGAATTATTATTAAATTATTAATATTAATTTTTAATTCGTATTAATAAATCTATTTTAGCATTATCTTAATTCTTGCTGCAGTTATTATAAGCTACATAATATTTTAAGCAGCCCAACTCCTTTATACTAAAGATTATAAAGCATTCCTTAAAGAAAGCATTTTCCGGCTTATACTTCTTGCAATCATTATACTTTTTATTAACCTTAATTCCATAAAATGCAATTAAAATTCCAATTAAATAATATAAATCCTTTAATATTAAGTTTAACTTATTATTTAAAGTTATGCCATAAGTATTAATATAAATATAAATATTATTGCCGTTTATTTTAGCAAGTTTTTTAAAAATAGCCTTTTATTTTTTATTAAAATTATACTTATATGCTTTTTATTAACTATATTAATTATATTATTTATAATATGTTTAATAATAATTATATTATTTATATTAATCTTATATTCTTAAATGGCTAAATTATTTTTAATTAAATTAAAATTAATATGCTTAATAATTTTAAGTTTAAGCAATATTTTAAAATTCTTTTTTTTTTAAATTTATTTATTAGTAAGTTAAACTTAAAGCCTTGGAAATATAAGTGCTATTAATTATTATTTATATTAAGTTATTTATTAAATTAATTTTAAATAAATATATTAAAGTTAGCTTCTTTATAAATATAGCTTAAAGAGTAAAATTCTTTTTCTTTTTTAAAAAAGGAATTATTAATATTTTATAATAATTCTTCTTAAATTTAAAATTATTAAAATATAAAAAGTATATAATATATAATATATAATATATAATATATTTTTTATAATTATATATATATTAAAATTAATTATTTTAATAAAACTTAATTTTTAATAAATTACTTATTAAATAATATAAAAGCTTTTTTAAAATTATATTTAAATATTATAATATTAATAATTTATTATATTAAGTCTTAATAAAAATTTTATATTTATATATTATTAAGGGCTATATATTATATACTTATATTATTTAATCTTTTAATTATTATAACTTTAATTAAAATCTTAAAGATAATTTATATTTTTAAATTTAATTTATATTTATTATACTTTATTTTATATTTAATATTATTTTAAATTATTATTATAACTTTATAATAATTTTATATTTATTTTTAATATTATTCTTTATTATTATTTTAAGTTAATATTATTTTTAATTATTATTTAAATTAAAAGATAATCTTAAATTTCCTTTTAACGCTATATTTTATAATTACTTTAGCTTTTATTTTGCTTTTTAAACTTTTCTTTCTTTTTTAATCTTTTAACTTAACTTTATTAATATTTTTATTTTTAACTTTATTTTTAAATCTTTAATTCCTTTTACTTTTTAATTAAATAAATATTTAATAAGACTTAAGATAAGCTAAAATAGGTTAATATTAATAAAAAGGGTATAATAAAAGGAGAGGAAAGTATTAATAAATTAAAAGAACTTAAAATTATAATATAATTTCTTTTTTCCTTAAAGGTATTAAGGATGAAAAATTATATATGCTTTTATTAATTTAATATATTTTAATTCTTATTAATATATTAAAGTTTAAATAATAATAATATAAATTAATATATAAATAAGGTTTTAATTATTATTATTTTTAAGTTAACTTTATATTATTCTTAAGGTAAAATTATTATTTAAAAATATTAATTCTTTTTATTAATTAAATTTAATGAAACTTAAAAAAGAATATTTATATTAAAATACATTTAAATATAGTTTATATAAATATAGTTAATTTATATACTTTTAATTACTTTAAAGCTAATTAAAAGGCTTTTATAATAAGTAATCTTAAACTTAATAAATAATTAAATAATTAAAGTAATAACTTATATTAAGATAATAAATAGGTTAAATTATAGCTTAAAAGTATAAAATAAAAGAAAAAGTTTAATTATATTATAAAAATAATTAATAGTAATATAATTAATAATATAAACTATATAATTAAAGTAAGTATTAATATAATTATATATATATTATTAAATTTACCTTTTAATTACATTAATATTTAAGATTATTTAAATATTATATATTTAAATATAATATTTAAATATTATAATAATTTAAATTCCTTATTTAAAATTAATAAAGATTAAATCATTTTTATTAATGTTTAAATAATATTAATAAAATATTTAAATATTATATTTAAATATTATAAAAATATGAATTTTAAATTAAATTACCTTTATTAAATCTTATATAATATTAATATTATATTTAAATATTATATTAAAATATTATATTTAAATATTATATTTAAATATTTTAAAAATAAGGGTTTTTTATTTAAAATTAATAAAGGTTAAATTATTTTAAATTATTATTTAAATTAAAAGGTAATCTTAAGTTCCTTTTTAATGTTATTCTTTATAATTGCTTTAGCTTTTATTTTTCTTCCTAAATTTTTCTTTCTTCTTTAGCCTTCTTACTTAACTTTATTAATATCTTTATTTTTAGCTTTATTTTTTAAATCTTTAATTCCTTTTGCTTTTTAATTAAAGGAATATTTAATAAAACTTAAAATAAGCTAAAATAGGTTAATGTTAATAAAAAGGGTATAAGAGGAAGGGAAGAAGGTATAAGTAAATTAAAAAAGCTTAAAACTATAATATAGTTTCCTTCCTCCTTAAATATATTAAGAATAAAAAATTATATATGCTTTTATTATTTAATAGTTTTATTCTTATTAATATATTAAAGTTTAAATAATAATAGTTTAAATTAATATATAAATAAGGTATTAATTATTGCTGCTTTTAAGTTAACTTTTATATTATTTTTAAGTTAATAATATGCTAACTTATCTTAAGAAAGGTAATAATATTATTTAAAAGTATTAATTCCTCTTATTAACTTAATTTAATAAAACTTAGAAAAGTATATTTATAATGCTTTAACTTTATATAGCTATTAATATAAATATAATTAAATAAGAAAATAGAATTACTTATAAGTATAAGTTGCTTATTGCTTATATTTAAAGCTTAGCGTAATTATATTTTAAAAGCTAAATTTAAGATTATACTTTTTTATAATAAAAAGAGATTTAAAATTATTTTTATTTTATATTTATAAACTTATAATAAAAATAAGTTAATATAAATAAATATATATAAGTAATTAAATAACTTACTTAATAATAATTCTTAAAAGTAAATTATATTTATTATTAATTAAATAGCTTTATTAATATTAAACCTTAGCTAAATTTAATAATAATAATATTTTATCTTAATTATTAAATAGGATTTTAAAATTATGCTTATTAAAGCTATAATAAATAATTAAATATTTCTTTTGCTTAACTTATTTTAATAAACTTTACTTTATACTTAGCTTATTATTAAAAGTTTAGGTAAGATTTAATAAAATAAGTATTATTTATATTATTAAAACTTTTAAATAATATATACTTTATATATATTAATAAGTTTAAGTGTATTAAGTAAAATTAATAGCATTAAGTAAAGCCATTATAAGGCTATATAGTAATCTTAATGATTTACTTTAAAATATATTAATTTTATATTTAAATATTATATTAAGATATAAACTTATATAATTTTAATTCAATATTCTTTTAACTCCTTATTAAAAATGTATTTTGTAAAATTAAATAGTATATTTAATTTATTATTGCTATAGTTAATGCTAAAAATTTAAACTATAAAGATATATTTTAAACCTTAATATTATAAAGATATAAATATTATATTTAAATATTATATTTAAATAAGATATTTAACTTATTAATAAGAAATTTATAATCTTAATTAATAGTAAAATTAATAAAGTTATTTATAACTTGGGTATTATTAATATTAATAAAATGTTATTATTATACTTTTTAATTAAATCTTTTTTTTAATATATTAAATAACTTATTAAATAAAAAATAATATATTAAAGGAAAGTTTAAATTAATATAAGTATAAATAAGTGTAATATTTAAATATTTATATAAGATAAGTATATATATAAAATATATAGGGTTATTTTAACTTACTTTTTTCTGTTAATAGTTTTAAAACTGTAAATATAACTTTATTGCGCTTGCTTTAAAGATATTTAAAGTTTATATTAATTAAATAAAACCGTATTCTTAGAAATATAGCTGCTTAAGCCTTAGTAAAATAAATAATAAGGAATAAATCCTTATTAATAAGGATATTTTAAATATATTATAAAATGTTAATAATAATACTATTAATTAATATAA